TAAATGCGGGATCCAGGATTAGGGATCTGCATAGTAAGAAGCAGAAAAGGGTGACCTACTTTAGAGCAACCCCACATCCACAAAGAGGGCGGAGGCTCTACAGTTGGCGTGGCATCGTGGGATGCAAGACAAGCGAGCTAACTTCTTTGAGTATCCCCATCCTAAAAGTGGCCATGTAAAAGGACGAAACTAAGCGCACCCTTTTTGTGGGTTGGTTACTTGATAAAGGAACCTTGAACGAAGAAAAGGGCCAAAGGGCACCTCTGGGCTACCAAGTAGGGATTGGGCGCTGCAAGGAGATTCGCTGCGGGATCCTCTGCATGATTCTCTGCATGTGGGCGCGCTTCAGGGATACCCAGCTGGATTTCGTGCGGGATTCTTTGGGGTGGGGCGCGAAGACCCGGGTGGAGTGCGGGAGACGCAGGGGAGGAGAATAGCTGGGTGAAAAGTCGAACAGCCCCCGCACTGAGGGTGGGAAACAATCACTCGTGCTGATGTCCATCTGCCAGTAACCCCTAAAACAAAACCTAGACCTTCAAGGGAAGTTAAAGCTCCAGGGGGAAGAATTGAGGATTCAGGTTTTTGGGGGTGGTCAGTGGCAGTCGAAGGGCCCATGACGCAGCGGGCAGCGTTCCCGCGGCCGGCGGGATGAATGCCTCACTCCAAGGCATCACCGAATAAGGTCCGGGGCTTCTAGCTTGAGGTTTGGGGTGTAGGGTTTAGTGCTTGGGGTTGATGCAGGTGACAGGTCATCGCCTTGCGTGCGCTGATGCTGATCCATGGCATTCTATCACGCTTCTGAAACCGACAAGTGACGCTGGACAGCAACAGGTTCACCTTTAGAGGAGTTCCTCATACTCAGAACTCACTGCTTTGATTCGTAGGGCTGAGGTGTTGAGGGACTCGGGTGTAGACAAGCGAAGGGACGGAGCCGAGTCATGCAGGAAGGGTGAAACTTGCCAGGAAATGTTAGGAACACCATAACACTCCGACTATCATCTCGCAATCCGCTGCCACACCTTAGGCGCTCATAGCAAAAAAAAACTCAATCCTGAACTCCTCCACTCCACTTTGTACTTCCATCCTATACCCGAACCCCTCGTCCTTGCGCCCTACCAAAAGCGGTGCAGTTGCTACTGGTCTAGCAGGCTTTGAAGTTAAAGGCCCCAAGCTTGGGCTGTCAAGCTATGCCGCCGCCATAACGACATGCCCTCACATTTTTCCCTAGAGGCCATGAAAGGTATTTCTACCCTCAAAGTCCTACTTTCGGTGTGACAGATTACGTGTTAAGAGCGAAGGTTCTCAGACTTTCGCGACTCTGCCAAGGTACGCAGGAAGCTTCCACTGCTGGCAAATACTCGCTGCTGCTGTCGCCACCCCACGGGAGCTGACCTCCATGACCTTATGCTCACAGACAATCTAGGGTTTATAGGGTTTAGGGTTTATAGGGTTTTTAGGGTTTATAGGGTGTAGGGTGTAGGGTTTAGGGTTTAGGGTTTAGGGTCTAGGGTTTAGGGTTTTGGGTTTTGGGTTTTGGGTTTAGGGTTTAGAAGTGGTTTAGAGTTTAGGGCAATTCCTTGAAAACCCGAAAAGTCCTCATGAACATAAGGCCGTACAAGTGTGCTCCGTCATGGAATCAGTACAGACGTCTGGCTGGCAAGTCTACGCAGACGCAAGCAGAAGATGTTGCACCCAAAGGCCTACACTACCCCCGAAACCCTCAATTGCCCTGAATCCTCCACCCAGACAAGGCTCGGAGAACTTGCATCGACATTCAAGCTTCGTTCGAGCGCCTCCACGTTTCAGGGCGCAAGGGATCCAGAGCTGTTCGATTGAAAGCAGCGACGGGAGCTGCTACGAGTTGCATCAGCCTCCAAACCTGCTGCGGCCCGGCTCAAATCCTACACCTGCTGGTTGTCAAAACCACACCGTGAGAAGCAGCACTCCGCACTCCCCGTGAATCCTTAAAACCCTTTCACCCACCGAATCTCTGCACGCCTCTTCCATACTCCCAGCCGGGTCCCTGCCTTAAGATCTCGCAACCCAGGGCCAGAACTCCCTTGAGGGTGGCTATAGTTGGCGTTTTTATAGCGACTTGAATCTGGCCCCCGCGCACGCCTGTCACGAGAAAAACCGCCCCCGCCGAACGACTGGGCTGGACACGTGAAGCCGAGACAAAAGAAGTGCTCGAGCCAGCAGCAGCGGACGTCGTGACATCCCTAAACCCCTCGAGCCTGAACCCTAAAAGGAGAGGTTGTGGGGAAATGCGCTGCAGTCTTGTGCCATCCCAAGATTCAAGGGCGGGCCGCTACACAACAGAAACTCTCAAACGCAGACTCGACAGAAATCGGCGGAGGGGTCAGGGCTGAAGGCTCTGCGCCATGAGCCATGAGCCCTACACCTCTTTCGTCTAAGCCTTCTCCAAGCTCTGCTAAACCCTCCCGAGAACCCGACACAGTCCAAACTTTTACTCAAGGCCTCAAGGCCCTCAACCCTGAACCCAAATCAAGCCCCCCCCCCCCCCCCCCCCCCACGCGCGCAACCTGCTGCCCACTTCGGGGCTTGGACTTAGACTCTGGCAAGAGAACAGGGCGTGTCCACCATGTGAAAGCATCCTCCCAGCCCTTGACACAACATTCCGACGTCCTAAACACCAAATGGGAACCCCCAAACCCTAAAACCCTAAAACCCTAAAACCCTAAACCCTAAAACCCTAAAACCCGAGCTTGAGCGCGCTTGGGCTCGCGGCAGGTAGTGGATGCTGTAAAGCAGTATCTCAGTTTCAGACACCCACTGCACCGGGGATGTGCTGGGTCAAAAAGCTCAGGGGGTGCGCGGTTTAGGGACGAGAACTGCAGCAATTTAGGGCCGGGATTTGCACCTGGGGATCCAGATTCCAAAGCCCTTTCCACAGGTGCAAGGTGTGCATCGGAGGGAGGAACCCAGCACGCAATGAGAAGCTTGGTCGGGGCAGTAAGCCTCGGGCAACCAGCCAGATGTTGTCCAACAAGGAACCTGGCAAACCCTATACCCTAAACCCTAAACCCTAAACCCTAAACCCTAAACCCTAAACCCTAAACCCTAAACCCTAAACCCTAAACCCTAAACCCTAAACTCTAAACCGTGAAAGAGTCCCGGCCGCTGCTTGATGGTTGGACTTTAGGTCCCTGAGTAGAGCAACTTGCAACACATGTCTTCCCAACCCATAGGGCTTATATAGGGCTTATAGGGTTTAGGAGCTACTAGCTGCTAGGGTCCCATAGGGCTTATATAGGGCTTATATAGGGCTTATATAGGGCTTATAGGGTTTAGGAGCTACTAGCTGCTAGGGTTTCGGGTTTCGGGTTTAGTGGAAACCTAGACCTCCCCAACAAACCCCACATGCCGGGCAGACTGTACACGACCGAAAGGAGAAACACCAGACCTTTCCGCGTGGGCTCAGGGATGCTCAAGGGTGGAGATGGCTCAGCATCACCATTTTTTTGGGGAAGCCCTGGGCTGGCTCAGGGTTCCACAGGGTGGGTTTAGGGTTTAGGGTTTAGGGTTCAGGGTTCAGGGTTTAGGGTTTAGGGTTTAGGGTTTAGGGTTTAGGGTTTAGGGTTTAGGGGTTAGGGGTTAGGGTTTAGGGTTTAGGGTTTAGGGTTCAAGAGCTGCTGGTTGAGCAGTTTCTCGTTTAGGCTCGCCGTTGAGAACATCGAAAAATACCCACCCACCTGGAGTTCCCATAACATTAAGAAATGCAAAGTGTCCTCTTATTAATCGGATGGCTCAACAACAAAACTGACAGAGTTCGCAAGGTTTCAGGGTCTCAAGGGTTTAGGGTCTCAAGGGTTTAGGGTCTCAAGGGTTTAGGGTCGCAAGGGCTTAGGGACTCCAGGGTTTAGGCTCTCATGGTCGTATGCCCACGAATCCTTCGGCCCATGCCCACGAAGTTCCGGGCCTGTGCCCACGAAGTTCCGGGCCTGTGCCCACGAAGCCCCGGGCCGATGCCCACCCACGAGCCAAAGGCCCATTCGTGTACATAGACCCCAAGGGCATAGGCCCCGCGGCCCAAATATTCGTGGGCATATGCCCAATATCCGCAAAATGGGCCTTGCCCACGAAAAAGCGGGCCTATGCCCGTGAAAAAGCGGGCCTCAGGGTTAGGGTTTTGGGTTTAGGGTCTCGGGTGTAGGGTTTAGGGTTCGGTTTAGGTTCTTTGCAGCAAAGACAGGGCTTGTTGATGTGCATTGCCTCTTCGCAAGGAATTAACCTAGTGTCTTCTGCAAGACCAAGCCCTTACTGCCATAACCCAAGGTGGAGGGCCTATAGGGTGTAGGGCTTCGTACCACTCGGCCGGCCCTCGACGCAAACCCGCTGCAGGGCTTCTGGGCGAACACACCCGAAACGTAGGCCCTAAACATCCCTAAACATCCCTAAACATCCCTAAACCCTAAACTCTAAACCCTAAACCCTAAACCCTCAGGGGTTTATGGCTCTCTGCAGGCTTCTTGAAAACGCCAGTCCCTGCGTCTTGGTGCATCTTGGCGGCAGAGGCTTTCGCAGAACAGGAAGCCAACCTGAGAGCTGAAGATCTTGTGAAATCTGAACAGGGTTTAGGGTTCAGGGTTCAGGGTTAAGGGTTCAGGGTTCAGGGTTCAGGGTTCAGGGTTTAGGTTTAGGGTTCAGGGTTCAGGGTTCAGGGTCTAGGGTTTAGGATTCAGGGTTTAGGGCAGCGGCTTAGGGTTTAGGATTGAGGGTTGAGGGTTTAGGGTTTTTAGGGTTCAGGGTTCAGGGATTAGGGTTTAGGCTTTCGGGTTCAGGGTTTCGGGTGTGGGGTTTAGGGTTTAGGGCCCAAGCTCAAACCCGAAACGCGTAAGCTTCAGCTGTCATCAACCCCCCCGAATTGACAGTGTTGTCACAAGAACCTCGAAGCCTTGAAACGCTCCCAAAATGCACTTGGACCATGCGACACCTGGAACACCCAAAACAAGCTTAAAGCCTACTCAAAAAAATGGACCTTATATGCCAATCGCGTCTAGTTTCTGAATCGCGCTAGGATCCCTCAAAAAGCCGCTACAGAGGCCGCAGCAGGCTTGGGGGTTTAGGGGGGGGGGGGGGGGGGGGGGTTGCGGGGGCCATGAGGGAAAGGTGTAGGGCTTCAAGGGCTTGAAGGCTTTTAGGCTTCATAGTTCTAACCCCTGAACCTTAAGACTGCAGACTGCCCCAAGAAAACAATCCCACGCTGAGGGAGCAGCTCTCTGAAAGCAAGAGAACTTCTTGTGCTCTAGGGCCTTCAGCAGCCAAAACCTCCGGAAGATAATCGGGGTCTTGGGGGGGTGGCTGGCTTGTTCTTTGGGATTTAGGGCTTACGCAGTTTCGGGGTCCCAGTGCACAGTCGCCGAGCCATGCTGACTGGTGGAAGTTGACCCAAGCGGGAAGTCGACTGATGGCTTCAAGGTTGGAGTTCAGGCAGTGGAGTTGGATGGAGCTTGACAGCTTTAGGTCCCGGGCAGGGTACGGGACATTTGACTGAGGTATGTACAGGTGTATATATGTATATGCAAAAATACATATATATGGTATATATATATACCATATATATATATATATATATACAGAACGCACTGAACCCGGTGTAGGCTTGAGGGTTACGTGTAGGCTTGAAGCTCCTGACGCCCCCGAATATCACTGCCTCGTGAACCCTCAAGCCTCAAATGGCACAAAAAGCAACCCTAAACCCTAAACCCTGAACCCTCAACCCTAAACCCTAACCCCTAAACTCTACCATCCGTCGTCAAGCTGCTCGTAGAGAGTGGATCGCGGATCCCGCAGGCCGGTGCGAAGGTGCTCCTCCGAGAGCAGGTTGCGGCCAGGCTTAGGAATCAAGATCCCTGGACCCTAAACCGTAAACCCAGAACCCTAAACCCTAAACCCTAAACCCTAAACCCTAAACCCTAAACCCTAAACCCTAAACCCTAAACCCTAAACCCTAAACCCTAAACCCTAAAAAAACACCGAAGTTTTAGAGCCCCAGAGGCTCCCCCAGCCCAACCGGCTTGAAGATGGGAGCAAAGCCTAACGCCCTGAAACTCCTGAATTTAGGGTTTAGGGTTTAAGATTTAGGTAACCCTGAAACCCCCCAAAACAGCCTAAAACTTTGGACCCTGAAGCTCAAACAACATATCATAGCATATCCCTACGCCTCCCCTCCTGACACCCGAGATGTTAAAAGCCGGGGGGGGAGAGGGAGCGGGAACCTGGGCAGAGTTTTTCGCGGAATGTGGTGAGGGGCTCGGAAGTCGTGAACTTTGGGATAAAATTTCCTGGTGACTGCGTGTCTAGGTGCGGTTCTTTCTGGGTTTTGGTGCTTACGGGGGAGGCCCCGTAAGTATGTAAGCACATAAGCAGCCTGAAGCCCCTGGCAGCCAGGGCACAACAAAAAAAAATGACACTCCGAAGCCCCGATGCTGTTAGGGGCACACATGGGGGGTTCCCGAAAATAGGGATACCCTCTTTTGGGAACGGGCACCCCTATTTTGGGAAATGCCCATATGACATACCCCCTTTAAGGCCCGTGTAAGGCCTCCGTGTCTTTGGATCCGAGCTGTCGGCTGAGGGTCCGGACCTGGGAAACTCGGGGTTATTGGGGCCCCATGAGCCCTCCAAACCCTGGTCTCAACCCTAAACCCCAAACCCTAAACCCCAAACCCTAAACCCCAAACCCTGAACCCTGAACCCTTAACCCTAAAAAAGGGCTCAAGGGTTTAGGTATTGCAACCCTACCCTCTTCAGGCCTCTTAGGGCTCAAAGGGTCTACAGGGTAAGCCCTAGCCTCTTAAGGGCTCTTCGGGCTTAAAGAGTCAAAGGGTTTCGGTATGTTTAGGCTTTAGGGCTTCAAGTTGGCAGCAACAGCGAAGGCAGTTGAAGAGCATTCCTTTGCTGTGAGCTTCCTGATGTTTAATGAGGATAGAGGGCCTTAAAAGTTCGATGTAGTATGTTGTTGTGCTTTGTTTACATTTTTAGTCTACTATATCGAACTGTACTCTATTGTGCTATACGAGGTTGTGTGCATTTTGTGCGCCAAACCAGGGGCGCTGCGGACCAGTCGGGTGCTGCGATCGTGAACTGCCAGAACTCGCTCAGGTCATGGCCTCAGCAGGCTTTCATGTGTTCCTGGGAGAGAACAGGAGAGAAGACTTTGGGGCTTGGGGTTCAGTGCGTGATAAGGACGTCCTTATGCTACTATTTGCTTAAGAACCAATAGGGAGTTTGTTGTTTTTTTGTTGGAGGGGGGGGGGGGGGGGGGGGGCGGGTTCTTAAGCAAATAGTAGTCGCCCCTCGAATCGTAAACCCTACACTCCCAAACCCGGGCCAGATAACCCGGTGGCACCCGCCCTTAACCCTTCAAGACGTTTGAATCACATTGCGCAGCCCGGAAGCCCCATGCTTACCCGGCTGCGCTGCTTCCTGAGGTCCTGGCCTAGAGATGCCCTGGGCAGAGACTTCACCCTAAGCCCTATGTGGGGGTTCTCCGAAATTTTGGGGTACCCTGTTGGCGGGTCTTGACAAGACGGGAATCCTACTACTTGGGGACTCTATTTAGGGGTTCCTTATAAAACCCGGAACCCTCCTATTTGGGGACTAGACTAGGGGTTCCTTCTTTTCGTAAACCACCTTGTCAAAGGACTCAGGATCCCTGAGATGTGAGGCCCCCGATGACAGGAGGGGGTTGGAAGCCCGAGCTTTAGGGCCTCCAACCTGAAACAATACCACGTGGACCCCAGAGCCCTAAACCCTAAACCCTAAACCCTAAACCCCCTAGACCCTAAACCCAAAACCCTTAAATACCCATGAGCTGCACCAAACATAAACTCCTAATCTGTCACTGGCCTATTCCCCTACACCCCCGCACCCCTAAACCCCCAAACTGAAGCTGCCCGACAATCCCCTCAGCCCCCTAAACTTGAAACCTCAAACCCTCCGCCCCATTAAGCGCTTGCTCGCAACCCTTGTGGGTTATTGAGGGTTTTCGGTTTTAGCCTGCGGCGGGACCAAACCGCCCAGAGTTAGGTCTGCGGACCCAAGGGCCTCAAACGGATAAAGACCTGGCACCCTCTAATCAAGGTTTCAAATCTTCACTTCCACTACATAAGGCTTCAACGGGCACTTCTTGTTTTTATCGACGGGGGAAGCTAGCTTATCGGATTGAGATTATGGTTATACCCTCTCTATACTACGTGAAAAACTGCGGAATCACATCCTTGACGATTCTGTCGATGAGGGCAAACGGATTGAGAAGATCATGAATTCAAACCTGCCGTAACACCAAAACCCCCAAAAAAGACTGCAACCTCTGGGAAGGCCACAAAACTACGAGTAGAATAGATGCTCGCCGTTGAAACCTGCGAAAGACAATGCTGCCTAAGAGAATGGAATGTCCTCGGCGAATACATATATGGGACTTACAATGTAGGACACTGTCCAAGAGAAACGACAGGAATTGCTTGCCAGACTCCAAACTCTGAAAGATACACTGCTCGTAGATCTCCAACAACCCTCTGGGAGGACGCAGGGTTTAGGTTTAGGGCTTAGGGTTTAGGGTTTAGGGTTCAGGGTTTAGGGTGCCAAGTTTGTCAAGTCAAAAGCAGGGATCAGGGCGCTGAAGAGGGCAGCTGAGCCCAAGGGCAGCGTGGGCTGTGGGCAGAAGAGTATCGGCGCGATCAGCCTTGCACGCAAAGAACGCGTCAACAGCACTGGCGGTGGGGGGTGGGGGGTTTAGGGTTTTGGGTTTTGGGTTTCGGGTTTGGGGTCTAGGGTTTAGGGTTTAGGGTTTTAGGGGGGGGGGGGGGGGGGGGGGTGGTGTCTGAAAAGCTTCTCAAGACTTATCCTGGTAGCGCAGACGGGCCTACTCTTGCCAGCCTATCCCGAAACATGAGCCCACGAAGCCCTTCACACCTTCAACAGAAGCCTCAAACCAAGCATGCCCTGAACTGTAGGGTGTTTCGGGTTGAGGCCGAGGGTTTAGGGCCCCCTAAAACCCTAAATCCGAAGGCCCTCATTCCCTGAACCCATAGCACTCCTGAAGACCTGGTCTTCAGGTTTTTGAGAGAGTCGAACAGCTAGTCAGTCCCGTTTAGGGGTTAGGGTTTAGGGTTTAGGGTTTAGGGCTTCGCATCCGGGTCACCACATGACGGCGGAGGCCAGGAGGACCATCATCGGAAGCGTGGAGAAGCCCTGCGCCTCGCGCGTTCCGTTGGCTTAGAGGGTATCAAGGCAAAGGCTTAGGGTGTGGGGTGTTAACCTAAACCCTAAACCCTAAACCCTAAACCCTAAGCCCTAAGCCCTAAGCCCTAAGCCCAAAATTTACCCTAAACCCTAAACCCTAAACCCTAAACCCTAAACCCTAAACCCTAAACCCTAAACCCTAAACCCTAAACCCTAAACCCTAAACCCTAAACCCTAACTGTTCTGTTTGCGCATTGGCTTTCAGAACGATGCCACGAGCAAGCTTCGAGTTCGCGCTTTGAGGTTCTGGAGGAGGGGATCAGGGCTTAGGCTTGCTGCAGAGGCTGTGAAGTCCTTCGGCGGGACCAGGGTTCGGCTTCGTGCAGAAATGACAGGACGCCGCTACAAAAAGCTGGGGGGGGCTTATGCCTTTTGAGTATGCCTTAGACTAGAGGGCTGTGGAAGCGGGCGGGGGCCGGGGGGTGGGAGGGGGGCTCTGTGTAGAATGCTGGGACTCAATGGACTGAAAGTTGCCGCCTGCGACACCAAGGTGTAGATGGTGTAGCCTTGGGAAAGTTTTTTGGATCTTCCGGGCCGTGATTGGACAGGGCTGAACGCAGAAGATAGCGCGACACGCAGGACCGTTTGCAGGGCAAGGTATCTTTGACAAGGCTTCTACAAGCAGAGGCGTGTACGGGCACCTCGGGACGTAGAAGTGTAGAACGGCTACGTGCCCGAAAAGGTTCTCACCCGAAGCCATCTAAGAACTCTCATCCCAACATGTTTAACAGCCCGTGCCAAGGCGCTCATGAAGATCCTCAGAGCCGGGTAGTAGTGGCTAGAACCTCGCAGTGACTTGCAGCGACTTGCAGCAGAAGGGTTTCGGGCTCCGCGGACAGCTCAAGATCCCGAACAGGGCTGCGGCAGTGGATGAAGTAGCACTCCTTCCAGCTGTAGTGCGTGTTCGCCTGCCGTGCGGAGGAAGGCAGCAACGCCCGCAACTCTAAACTGCAGACGCCAGAACAACTACGAGGCACAAAGCTGAGAAGGGCAGCACATGGTTTTCCGATCGAAAAAAAAAGCCAGGAAGGCATTGGGGCGGCCGGTTGCGATGTAGGACCTCACAAGGCATCAAGGCTTCGCAAGGCTTGAAGGAATTCAGTGTTTGGCACGTTTGGGTCTTGGACTTTTGGGACGGACAGCAAAGGCCTTGAAGATCGCTGGGTGGTCAAAGAACCGAAAGCCCAAGAAAGCAGTCCCAATGCCTGAACCCTCGATACCTTCACATTTTGGGGCTTGCAAAGGACCCCACGGCAATCGAAAAGCACGCATCGTTGAAGGGGCACAAGGGAGCCAAGAACGCTTCCTCATTCGCATACGACAGAGCTGTGCGACAACAAATTAAATGACGGCACAAAAGAGACACGCACGCTTCCATGGTATGTGTCCAAAATCCAGATGACTAGGCGTCCGGCTTTCTAGACCGAATGGTCTGGCTGAAAAGAACTACGGCAGGTCAGACTCAGAACCACAAACATGCCGAAACACAATGACGAAAGAATGGCCCTCGGCTCTATTCGGACCTTCGGGGGTCATGGCCACATCCTGTGGTTTCAGGGTTCAGGGAGTGAGAACTTTCGACCAGAACAACCCAGTCCTGAAACCTTTGATCCTTCGGGGCTGCTCAAGTTTGCGTGCTGGGTCTGTGGCGCTTCCCCAGTGACCATCGTCTCCTGCACGCGGGAGAGTGTCAGGGTTCGGGTAACCCTAAAGCCTAAACCCTAGGGTCCAGCATGCTGGCGATGAAGCTTTCGTGGGTTTGCTGGCCTGTTCAGAGGTCTTCAGGCTCACGAGCACAGCAGCACGGGATTGGCGGACGAAAGCCTACAGCCCAAATCGAAACCGAACTCGGGAGCCCTCAGAATCGAATCATCAACAAACCCGTTCCCCAAACGGGGGGTTTCGCAACTTTCGTGGTATAGGAACAAAAAAGTGGGACCCTCCAGACGCACGAAGAGCCTGTAAAGCTAAGGCTTCGAGGGCACTAGCTTCCTGAGCCCCCTGGCAAGCCCCACAAATCCGCAACCCTCAACCCCACATGCCGCACTCGAACACGTGTTATGTAGGGGCCTTAATAATAATTAGTATACAGGGACCAGAAGGGGACGCAATTAGTATTTATTCCGACACCCCGGTGGTCCTGCACGCCTGACGCTATGGACCTCGGCGGGGGCTGGGCCAATTCTCTAACTTAGACTTAGACTCGTCAGATTCCCAATTAGACACCCTAAACCCTAAACCCTAAACCCCAAACCCTAAACCTAAACGCTAAACCATTTCTCAACTTGCATGAGGAGAAATTAGCACGACGTGCTGGTAACCTCCAGAACTGCCCAGAACAGCGTTGCCCTTTCCATGCCTTGAAACGAATCCTCTGGCACAAGAGGTGCACATCTGTGAACTTACGCGCGTTGGCCCGTGCAGTTCTACATGAGCATGCAACGACCCACTGACAGCACAAAGGCACGACGCCTGCGATTGCAAAGTTTCTACAACGCCTTCTGTGTGAGGATACCGGGTGGGAGGTTTACAAGGTTTGCCTGGACGTTTGCCGGTTGGTAGACAAGGTAGACGTGTCCCAATGAAAGCTAGGTTCTGGTCTCAGTCACCTTGCCCGAGTTCTGCCTACAGCTTACCTCCAAGGCGGGCCTAGGGCCCTAAAACCTTAAACCCTAAACCCCAGGTAGCTCCCTAAACCCTAAACCCCCAATGGGCGCCGCACTTGTTGATGAAAGTGAACATGGTCATGCAGCCAGGGATCTCAGCGGCAAGCAGGTCCCTCCGCCGAACCCTAGACTCGTGCTTCAAGCCCAAGCACGCTTCAGCCAACAAATTCTTCAAGCCCTCAACCCTGAAGCTTGTATTCTCAAACCACTTCACTTCTGGGCTACAAGCAAGAAGGGCTGCCAAATGCCGCCCTCAAGCCCAAACTCTAAACAAGCGGAATTGCGTGATGCGTTTAAGCTTAGGGCTCTCGAAATCCCCACAAGCCTCAGCCCTTCCTAAACCCGAGGTCCCATGCCTGCCCTAAAGGCCCTAGACCCTCGACTTAGCACCTCTGTGGGATCGCAGGGTTGAGGGTCCAGGTCTTGATTGACTCTTAAAGATCTTTCAGGAACCTCTGCTCTGGGCCCACAAAGCCCGAAATCCTGAAGCCAAAGGCCCCAAACCCTAAACCCTAAACCCTAAACCCTAAACCCTAAACCCTAAACCCTAAACCCTAAACCCTAAACCCTAAACCCTAAACCCTAAACCCTAAACCCTAAACCCTAAACCCTAAACCCTAAACCCTAAACCCTAAACCCTAAACCCTAAACCCTAAACCCTAAACCCTAAACCCTAAACCCTAAACCCTAGACTGAAGCCCAAGAACCCTAACCTCCTAGCAGCGCACCGGGCCCCACGCTGACGGAACAAAGCGGAGGATGCCCTCCAGGGGCCCATACTCCAGGGTCAGCTCCTTGAGAGGGTTTAGGGTTTAGGGTTTAGGGTTTAGGGTTTGGGGTTTAGGGTTTAGGGGTTAGGGGTTTAGGGTTTTGGGTTTACTGGCTCCTTGAGGGGGCTAGAAAGGCTGTCGGAAGGCTTACAAGCAGCTTGGAGAGGCCTGCAGCGACAGCCTTGCTACTTCCTTGCATCACTAACCTGATGTCAGTACTCGTCCCATGAAAGACGAAAGTCCGCCCAGAACCCTCCCTCAAGAAACCATCAGAAAGACACACCTCAAAGACCTCAAACACCACCTCAAAATGACCCTCAAAACCCTCAACCGTGCCACGCCCTTCACCAAGCTTGCAGGGCTTATGCCGTTTGTGCCCGGGCCCCAGTCCATGAAGCGGGGAAACATCGCAATGGTCCCCATGGAGAGCCTGGGGCTTGTGGGTTTCCTTTGACAAGTCTGAGCCAGTTCAGGTGTGCCCTCGGCGCGGTTCCAGAGTAGGAGAAGCCCCTCAAAGCCCCCAACAAAGTGGTCTTGAGGTGGTGCTTGAGTTTGGAAGCTTGCGAGATGGGTCAAGCTCAAACCCTAAACCCTAAACCCTAAACCCTAAACCCTAAACCCTAAACCCTAAACCCTAAACCCTAAACCCTAAACCCTAAACCCTAAACCCTAAAACCCTAAACCCTAAGGACTTCTTCCACAGGCTCGGGCCCCAGGCGTCCACTCAGTGGCCAACATGGAGTCAAGCGATGCCACATCGACCAGGGACTTCGACGACAACGCCAGGAGGATGAAGAGGAGCACGTACACCCTGTGGGACTTTCCATGGGTTCCCCTACTACCCCCCCCCCCCCCGCCCCCTCTACTAACCTTTTCTAGGCTCCCCCCAGAATAATGAAGCCTAATGAAGGTCATCTAAGAGGGGAACTAGAGGGCCCCCCTAGGCTCCCCCCAGAATTAGGGGTTATTTAGGAATAATGAAGCCTCATGAAGGTTATCTCAGGGGGGAAACCTCGGGGGGGCTAGTATAGAGGGGGGGTCGTAGGGAAACCTTGTAGACTTGGGGGTAACTTGGGATCGGCTCTCCAGGGCTTCTCAAGTTGGAGTCCAGGCACGGTTTAGGGTTTAGGGTTGAGGGTTTAGGGTTTAGGGTTTAGGGTTTAGGGTTTAGGGTTTAGGCTTTAGGGTTTAGGGTTTAGGGTTTAGGGTTTAGGGTTTAGGGTTTAGGGTTTAGGGTTTAGGGTTTAGGGTTTAGGTTTAAATTTAGGGTTAGGGCTCAGGACTTAGGATCTTTGGGATACAACCTCTGTTGCCCTTCAGAGATGTTGAGGATAGGCTTGAGCCTGAGAAGGTGCTCTGCTCTTTGCGCAGGTTCGTGATAGCCCTCTCTTTCGGGTGGAGGACATGAGAATTCTGCAGCATGGTTCGGGTCTGAGAGTAGGGTGGAGGGCCTAAGGGGGCGACAGTTTTGGGGCGGGTGTTCTGTTCAGCGTGCTCATGCAGACTCCGTCCCCGCCCCCCCTAAAACGGTGACAAAGTGTTGAGACAGTGTTTCTGAGGCGCGGGCGAGGCGGACGTGTCGATGAGCCTTGGCTGCTCTGGCGGTGTCATATGCCGATGCTCAGGAAGATGAATACTGCGTTCAGGGCCTAAGCCAAAGTGTTGTTTCTCATGGCCAATGGGCAATTCCCAGAATGGCGACCCCCTATCCTCCCGACGAGTACTACAACCCTTATCTTTGAAACCTCTCGAAAGGGTTCCCCTAAAACCCTAAACCCTAAACCCTAAACCCTAAACCCTAAACCCTAAACCCTAAACCCTAAACCTTGAGCCCCAATCAATCTCTCCCATGGGGCAAGTTGTTCAAGTAGAAGCCCACCTCGGCACGCCCGCGGCAGGCAGCTCGACTTCGGAGGGACGCTTCGGAGACTTGCGAGATGAAGTTTTGGGAGGGACAACAGAATAATAATAATAATAATAATAATAATAATAATAATTGAATAAGAATAAAAAATAATAATAGTAATAATACTAATAATAATGATAATCGTAGTAATAATAATCATAGTAATAGTATAGAAGGCGTTTTTGATTGCCGACTTTACAAGCTGGGGGCTCGGGGGGTGTGGCTCCTTTACCGATCTGTGGCCGCCCGAGGAGCCGAGGCAAAGTAGAACGAGAAGTTGTCCACCTGCGTAGGGAAGTGGAGCTTGGGGGCTTAGAGATCTCGCAGGGTCAGAGCCGAGGGCTCTACAAGCTGTGAAGTTGGAATCAGAGAAACATCCCGAGCCCCAAGCTCTACTTTTTTAGAAAAAGCCTGAAGCCCCCAAAAACCGCTGCCCTGTGGCTTGCTAAGGCTCCTGGAGTGTTGGGTGGCTGAGGACTGTGAGTTCAGTTTGAGACTTTGGCATCGAATTTAGGGGGGGGGGGGGGTTGAGGATTCTTGGGGCCAAAGTCCCGCCTTCGTGCAACCCTCACCCTGAACCCGCTTAGCCCGAGAACCTTGGATCCTGAATCCTCAGCCCAAACACCCTGTAAAGAACCTACCAGGACGGAGTGGTTTCAGGGTCTGGTGTTCAAGGCTTCGGGCTCCGAAATTTCGGCTGTAGTAGGGCTTAGGGTTTGGGGTGTGGGGCTTTGGGTCGTTCCCCTGCTTTCGCAGCTGCACATTGCAGACTCATCTTCAGAGCCGAATGCTTCAATCTCAAAGAACATCTGAGTGCCCCAAACCCTGAGCCCCGCGCAATGTTCAGGTTCCTGGGCCAAAGCGCTAAGTCAGAAAGACGTGGTCGGGCCATATGGGGGCTTGAGGGATTTTTTGGGGAACATCATTCAAGAGCTCATGCGCAATTATGGCAAGTGCCGGGTCTCCGTCCTCGTTCAAAAACTCATTCGGGGGCGCGGTAAGACGGACTTGAGAGCAAGACCAGCCTGACAACACCCAAAACACCTCAACCCTTCAATACCAAGTTCCGATACCCCCCCCCTAAGATACTAAACGAGACCTTACACTTTCTGCAGTCCTAGACACAGAAGCCCCAGTCCCTATACAGAAGCTCCGGAAGCCTAATGTCAGCATCGGCTCTGCGTGATGACTTTCAGGTCGCGCGACCGCATGACACCAACATTGCCTTTGCTCACCTGCGCCGGTTTGGGGCTTAGGGTTTAGGGTTTAGGGTTTAGGGTTTAGGGTTTAGGGTTTAGGGTTTAGGGTTTAGGGTTTAGGGTTTAGGGTTTAGGGTTTAGGGTTTAGGGTTTAGGGTTTAGGGTTTGGGGCCTATTGGGCTTGAGGGCTGCAGGCTTTACTTCTAAGTTGCCCGGTTTGAAATTGAAGAAATCCGAGTCAATTTGCGCTCAAGCCCCGAAATTCCCGGGTTCTGCATAAGCCAGGATTGACCCCTGAGACCGACACCCCCCCCATACGTGCATGCGTCAAAACCTACCTAAGCTCAGGTCACGAATCTCATGGTGACCTAACTTAACAAGACACAAACCCCTTTACACCCCCCACCCCACCCCCCCACCCCCCCACCCCCCCACCCCCCCCCAACAAAAAAGGCTAATAACCCAAAACCCTGGAGCTCCCAACCTCAAAGCCCCGAAATCCCCCCTAAAACCCCCCCTGAACCTCAAGTCCTACGTCCGTCCTTGGTGTAGAAGAGGGCCGCCGCGTTGAACGACGACTCTCGCCCCTTCTCCCAGGCCAGGGCGTCCACGTGCTTGGAGGCTTCACCTGTGGGGGTATAAGAGGGATATAAGGGGTGTATAACGGAGGGGGTATCAGGGGTGTATAAAGGGGATATAGGGGTATAAAGAGGATATAAGCGGGCTCTGAGGGTTCGAGGGATTAAGGCTTAGGGCCTTTAGGGCTTGGGGTTCTGAAGCGCTCAGAACCCGACTGACTGAGAAAGAGCACAAAATCCTCCGCAAAAACATGCTTTACCCTCGACTCTCGACCCTCGGAGCCCTGCAAGGCCACGCAGTTGGATTGGTACCTCAGCCCCTGTGCGCGTACGCGCTCCACGCCCCCCGCCCCCCCCGCCATGGTTTCCAAGAGCAGGGGGGGAGAGCAAAATCCCGAAACCTCGATCTTCAACCCTGAACCCAAAGCCCTAAAACCCTAAACCCACCATGAACCACAGAAGGGAAGAGAGGAAACCCGAAGCTTGAACCGCATGAGCCCTGAACCCTCAACCTTGAACCGTAAACCCATCAAGGACCACAGGGGGGGAGACGGGAAACCCTAAACCTACACCCCAACCCTAAACCCTGAACCCTAAACTCGAGACCCACCATGAACCACGGAGAGCAGAGCGAAACCCGAAACCCTACAGCCACCCCTAAGCCCTAAACCCACCATGAACGGGGGAATGCTGGCCAACAAAGGCGTCAGCTCCTAAGAGGGGGGACCACTACGGGGTGCGGGGGAGTGCCGAGGCTGGCACCTCGCATCCGAACGTTGAAGCCCGCGAAGATATCCTGGTGAAGGTTTTTTTCAAAATAGGGGGGCCCCTCATGTAGACCCCCAAATAGTAGGATCCCCTTAGAATAAGGACCAAAATGAGGTACCCCTAATATCCCCCTGGTGAGGGTTTAGGGGTTCGGGCTCAGGATCCAGGGCTGTCAGAGCTCGGGCTTGGTGTTTCCGGGCTCACAGCTTCAAGTTTAGGGGCTAGGGGTGTACCGGTGCATGCTTTAGGGTCTAGGGCTTCGGGTTTGGAGTCGGAGCCGTGGCAAACTTCTGCAATCCAGACTATATACAGCTTAGGAAGCAGAGCCCAAGCCCTTCGGGTTTCGAGCAGAGTCCAGGGTAGGCAACCGACCAGCAGCGTAAACAGCACTGAGCCCTAAACACCAAAACTGCTTCAGCAGGCACATTCGACATGCTTGGGAGGGCTCCGGCAGGCCCCCCTTTTGAAGTCCTGCTCTCCGGGCATAAGAACACAACCCTAAACCCTAAACCCTAAACCCCAAACCCCAAACCCTAAACCCTAAACCCTAAACCCTTCCCGCGCCTCGGAGAGGTTGATGGCCGGGCTTGCCTTGCTCAGGGAGCCGCGGTTGGAGGCCCAGAAGCCATCCAGGAAGTCAGGGTGGCCGTAGTGCATCCCTCAGGGTTTAAGGTTTAGGGTTTAGGGTTTAGGGTTTAGGGTTTAGGGTTTAGGGTTTAGGGTTTAGGGTTTAGGGTTTAGGGTTTAGGGGAAGGGATGTGAACGGGCCAGAAGGGCGGTTCAGGAAACTTATGAGGTGGGGGGGCAAGTAAGTAGGAGGGGGGCGGGGGGGCCTCTTTTAGGGCCTGCGAGTTGTTGGCGGAGGCCCAGGAGGATGCTCGAGGACTAAAGCCTCCACGTTAGACCGAGGTTTCCTCGGGGCCGTTTTTCCTTTCTTGACTCCGAAGTGCTCAGGATAGGGCCGGAGTTTTGACATTAGGGTTCAGGACTCAAGGGGCTCGAAACGGGCACGCCACTTCGGCGACTTCGGCCAAGTGCAGATGACTCTCCCCGCCTGAAGTCCCACAACATCCACACCAGCAAACTTTAACTGGCCTTCTGAGGGCTGAGAGTTTCCCCTTCTCTCCTGTAAAACCCGCTAAAAAGGCGGTTGCCCTGCACTGAATCCAGCGGCTGCCAACGCACTGGTTGCAGCCAACGGGCGGGCCCCCAAACCAGCCAAGAAGCGCCTGGGTGCAAACGGACTTCCCGAAGCCCTCAAAAAGCCTCCAACAAACTGCAAACCCCAACCAAAACAAGGTGAAGCCACAAACCCTCAAGCCCGAAAGCCTTGAAGCAAAAGCATGCTGAACTTCAGACCGACATTTGGGGATCCCTGAAGCCCCACATGATAAAACTTCCAGGGCAGGGATTCAGAGATTGAATCCGCATCACCGACCTCACAAACCTGCCGATAAGGAAGCGCGACCTAGCAAGGAAAGCCTGCTTTCTCCGAAACTCTGCCCTACGCCGTTTCCGAAGCTTGTAGGCAGCCCAGCTCAGTTACCATGTCTTAAACTTAAGATCACCTCCCAGGACGACTTGCGTTCCCCCTTGCACAAGCACGCAGGTACCGCAGGCACCCGAACCCTAACCCCCTCGAAAGTCCAATCCACACACATGCCATACACTTGGCAGCCCAGGAACCATCTTGTACTAAGGGCACCACAGATCTCAAAGAGCGGTCATGTCATGAGAGTCGGATGGCCATCTTATCAGAAGGGTACCCCCTTGTTTGGTTGGTTGCTTTAAGGGAACTTAGAACCAAAAAAAAAACAATAAAGGGTACCACTGGGCTACCAAGTAATTACACAGAAGAAGCAAGCAGGCAATCCGGAAGGCAAGATTTTCCGAGGCCCGGGCTGGCAGATGGTGCCGAAGGACCACTCCGCGGACGCCATGACGCTGCCCACGGCCCCGTGGCTCTCCGTGAAGATGAACTCCTGGGAGAGGGCCCCAAGGCGAAAGAGGGGGGTGGGGTGGGGGGTTAGGTACTGTATAGGGTAAAGGGTATAGGGTATAGGGTTTAGGGTTTAGGGTTTAGGGTTTGGGGTTTGGGGTTTGGGGTTTGGGGTTTGGGGTTTGGGGTTTGGGGTTTGGGGTTTGGGGTTTAGGCTGTGCAGGGTTTAGAGGTTCAGGCTTGAGGGAACTTGGCCGTGGGGATTAAGGGCTTGGGGTTTTGGGGGGAGATTTGAGTGGGTAGCTTGGTCTTGAACTCATGCGCTAGGGCTTGGGGGCACTACAGCCGTGAGCTTTCAGAGGATTTTGCGGCTTAGGATAGACACGTAAGCGGCGAAAGATACACTGCAAGCCTTGCTCTGGGGTTTGTTAGAAGTGTTAAGTTGTTCTGGGCAACCGATGGGAAGGTCTCGTAAGGTGTTTTGGAGTGTTCATGTGTTTAAGCTGTAGTTGAACATGGAGCAGTGGCCGTCTACAAGCTACTTTTGCCTCGGAAGAGAACCGCTCAGATGGCTATTCAAGCTCCAGAACCAAGCTTGAGACACACACACACACACACACACACACACACACACACACACGGGGTTTCAACTTGATTCACTTCAGAGTGCCAAGGCTCTCGGAAGCCAATGATTCGAGCTCGCACTGTTGTCCTCGTGCGGAGAAGCCATCAATCCCTGAACTCTAACCTCCTTGTCTGGTAGGTTCAGGTCCTGGGGGTGCAGGGCGCAGGAGTTCAGCATGGTTTTGATACAGGTTGCCTACTGGCCCCAAACCCTACACAAGCCTCCCTGACACTTCAAGCGCCTAGTTCCCTGCCCAGCCCTCTTAACTACAAAAGCACCCTTCAACAGACATCATGCGAGATTTGGGGGGCTTGGGGCCATAGGCCCACGGCCCTCTCAACCTTAAGCCCCAAGCAAGAGTCAGCGGATCCAAGGGGTCCCCCACCCCCCGGCTGCCACCCTATCATTATCTCGTAGAGCTCCTGTCTGTCCAGTGAGGCTGAAACCGCCGAAGGATGAACGGCACCTTCGGGCTATTGGTTCTTCAGGGCTTGCTAAGGTTGAGGGGGTTTCAAGTCTGAGGTGGAGGGCTGGGAAACCTAAAGCCTAAGGGTTCAAGGTAGAATGGATCAGGTTCGGGGTTCTCTCAACACGACACCTCCCATCCTTAAACAGCAAGACTTCCCCAGACACGGACCCCCCAAACAACTCTGAAGGGCTTTAGGAAGCAAAGTCAAAGTGTCAAGGCCCCTGCAAAGATTCAAAAAACAGGGCCCTAAACACTAAACTCTAAACCCTAAACCCCTAAACCCTTAAACCCCTAAACCCCTAAGCCCCTAAACCCCTAAACCCCTAAACCCCTAAACCCCTAAACCCCTAAACCCCTAAACCCCTAAACCCCTAAACCCTAAACTCTAAACCCTAAATCCAACTTGGGAAGCCGGACGTAGCCTTCGTCGCCTCGCCCAGGAATGCCCCCATGTTCGCCTGGGGAGTCCGTGCAATATAGGCGCCTTAATGGTAGAACTGTGTAGGGACCATAAGGGAATATCATTAGCAATTCTTCCGACACCTATAGTCAAGCTATTTAGGGTCCAGGATTTTTTTCGTGTTTTTTTCTGTTTTTTTTTTGTGTTTTTCATGGTCTTGGGTTTAGGGTTTAGGGTTTAGGGTTTAGGGTTTATAGGGGTTTATGGGGTTTATAGGGTTTATAGGGTTTATAGGGTTTATAGGGTTTATAGGGTTTATAGGGTTTATAGGGTTTATAGGGTTTATAGGGGTTATAGGGTTTATAGGGTTTATAGGGTTTATAGGGTTTATAGGGTTTATAGGGTTTATAGGGTTTATAGGGTTTATAGGGTTTATAGGGTTTATAGGGTTTTTAGGGGGTTTTAGGGTTTTTAGGGTTTTTAGGGTTTTTAGGGTTTTTAGGGTTTTTAGGGTTTTTAGGGTTTTTAGGGTTTTTAGGGTTTTTAGGGTTTTTAGGGTTTTTAGGGTTTTTAGGGTTTTTAGGGTTTTTAGGGTTTTTAGGGTTTTTAGGGTTTTTAGGGTTTTTAGGGTTTTTAGGGTTTTTAGGGTTTTTAGGGTTTTTAGGGTTTTTAGGGTTTTTAGGGTTTAGGGTTCACCTGAAACCATAAAAAAAACACGAAAAACAAAACAGAAAAAACACGAAAAATGAACCATCAGCCAGCTATTTAGGGGCTTAGGCCCCTAGCCCGCCTAATCCAAAGCCGCCGGCATGGATGCGTGACTTTGCGACTCTCGGGTCTTCGGGCGCTTGGGGTTTACGGAGCTTACGGCCTCAAGGATCCCAAACACTCCGTCTAAGCCCGAAACAGGCTTGGCTGCTTGGTGTATTCCGTTTGGGCGTTCAGGGTAAGGAAGGCCTCACCCTGCCGCAATCTTCATTGGAGCGATCCTGAAGATCCAACCCTAAACCCTAAACCCTAAACCCTGGAGGGCTGCTCCTCTCAGCCCAGAACCTGCAAGCCTAGGGCTCACAGGGTCTTCAGATTCATGCAGTTTTGGGGTCGGAATGAATACTCATCGTATTCCCCTATATACATACAGAGAGAACCCCCAAAAACCCTATTCGAATTCCTAAGGCCCCTTTTTTTGCTTATTGGAGCTGCGCCACATCCATCATCTGCAAGAAGTGCCCGCGAGAGAAGCGGAGCGCTCCCAGTTGGTTGCCAGCTTTTCCCTGGGGTTTAGGGTTTAGGTTTAGGGTTGAGGGTTTAGGGTTTAGGGTTTAGAGTTTAGGGTTTAGGGTTTAGGGTTTAGGCTCGATGCGCAAGGGCCCTAGTCATGGGCGCAAGCTTTCGGGTTCACGGAATGAAGCTTATCCGTCTCGGCGATCTGAATCCCTATGGGCCTATGGCCAGGAAAAGTCTGAATCGGGATTGGAAGAACGAAGACCAAGAGCAGACGGCTTGAGGTTTGGTGCTTAAGGATTTGGAGTTGACGCTGTAGCGTGTTGCGTTCAGGCTAGCGGCTTGCCGCTCAAACTGTGTGATCGCTGCCTCTTCTTGGAGTTAACCGCCGCGGCTGAAGAAAATAGATAGCGCCCGAAACCCCACCAAGTACAACACCTAAGCAACGGCCGAAAAAGAATCCACACAGACACACACACCCATACCCCAACGACAAAAACGGTATCGCACCGACCAGCACCCTGCTAGAAGAGAAAACACGAAGAATAGACTAGGAGGTCTCTGCCGACGAATACCTTGCGGCTTTGCCAACATGAGCTGCATCCCAAGGCGTGGGCTTAGCATCGACTAAAGTGTACATATACTGGGATGTTCTCCCTTATACGAACAGTCCTTAATAGGGTTATAATCGGGGGTACTATAATCCCGATTAAGAACTGTTAGTATAAGCGGGAACATCCCAATATAGTCGTTGAGGCTACAAGGTCGAAGGATGAGGGTTGAGGGCCTGAGGCCCAGAACTCCACGATTCAAGCCCCGGCGCCTGCGTCATGAACCCCGGCGTGCCCACCAGCAGCGGAAAGCACCTTTGCTTTCTGCATCCATAGGAAGGCTTGAGACCCCGAATCCTAGAAGTGGCAAAGGCGGCAGAGGGCTTTAAGTTTAGGAGCTTTAAGTTTAGGAGCCCCGAAACATCCCCTCGCCGCAGCTCCATGGCACGCCCTGGAATCCCAATACCCTAAAACCTGGGAAAGCCTCAACCCTGATCTCAAAGGCCGTGACCGAACGCCTTCTGCTGCTAAGTTGAAGTTCGGACGAGGACGTAGGGTTGAGGGCTTTAGGGCTTTGGGGCTTCAGCCCGCTTTGGCCCTTGCAGGCCTTGCGAGTTCAGGGCTTCAGGTCTTCGGGTTTGGCAGGTGGTTGACAAATCGTTGTGGGCCCAAGAGGCCTAAACCCAACGAATCACTGCCAACCCTACCCTTAGAAGCACAGAGGGGTAACTTAACCCCCCAAAAACACTGAACGGTAGCAAAAAGAGATCGTCTACTAACCCCCCGCCCTAAACCCTAAACACTAAGCCCCAAACCCTAAACCCGAAACCCTAAACCCTAAACCCCAAACAAAAGAGCTTCCTCCGAAGTACAGCTGGCACCCGAAAGCGACCTCGGCAGCACTTCCAGGATCTCGACCGACCTCTCCGGCACTTCGAACTCGTCCTCCCAAGCTCGGACAAGGGTCAGGGTTGAGGGTTGAGGGTTGAGGGTTTAGGGTTTAGGGTTTAGGGTTTAGGGTTTAGGGTTTAGGGTTTAGGGTTTAGGGTTTAGGGTTTAGGGTTTAGGGTTTAGGGTTTTTGGGAGATCTGGATTTGGTGGGCTGTTGGAGGACAGTGTCTTGTTCTATTGGACTGCCGAAGGGCTTTGCACAAGAGAGCAGGCAGGGAGCGTCCTATGGAATCGAATCCAATTGGGCCTTCGGGTGATTCCAAGGGGTCCATCCCAAGAGTCAAGGCACTCGGTCAAGCCATCCCAGACATGCTGGGGAGGCGTTCATGAAAAAAAAACCCTAAGACCTGAACTCGTCTTAGGGCGCCTAGCCCTACGAACCCACCCTGAACCCTAAACCCTAAACCCTAAACCCTCAACCGTTTTGACATCAAATCCTCGATGTGCTTACCATGGGCCTACTTGTCGCAGGGTCTCCGGCATAGTGGATGGTCAGGACCAGGGTTGGAAAGGGTCTTAAAGCCTTAAACCCTAAACCCTAAACCCTAAACCCTAAACCCTAAACCCTAAACCCCAAACCCTAAACCCTAAACCCTGGGTTTGGTGTTTAGGGGGGCACCAATCCTTGAACCTGAAGCCCCCAGCCCCCTCCTCTCGGAAAGCACCTCTCCGAAAGCGCGCCAGCACCGACCTTCGGGTTCATGGATCTGGGGTTTCGGCTTCAGGCGGCTTAGGGTTTAGGGGTAGGGGCTTAGGAGTTAGGGGTTAGGGTTTAGGGTCTGGGTTTAGGTTTTAGGGTTTAGGGTTCAGGGTTTAGGGTTCAGGGTTGAGGTGGTTCAGGGTTGAGGTGGTTCAGGGTCGAAGGCTGCGGGCTTGGACCAGGCTATCCAACCATCCACAACCTCCACTGTGCAGCATGCAATGGCTGAGGTTCGGGCGCGTGCCGCACAGGGCGGTCGAAGCGATACCTCGTAGTAGCGATGATTCAGGCACGGCGCTCTGCTTAGGGCAGAAGCTGACAATCGTCGCAAAACCTCCCCCGCCCAGATCCTCAGTTCAACCGCTGAACCCTAAGCCCTGAACCTGAAATTCCTTAAAGCCTTACCTGGAGCCAAGTTCTTTCCATCCCAAGTAGCCCCCCTGAACAGTGCTCAGCACTGAAAGCATCTATCAAACGAGGAAGATGTCTCCATTTCAGTCTATGCTTGAGGGCTTATGGTTGGCTTTCTCGAAATACTCTTACTCTAGGGGAATTCCTGGCATCTGACAGGACAAGAGTGAAAAAGCACAAAAGGCGATCGTGCAGAATGCTGGGTTGTGCGGTAGATTTTTTGCCTGCCAAGCAGCTTCTCCCTAACAAAGTTGTTCACGGCAGTGACGATGCCCGGCCGAGACTTGTCCTAGGCCAAGTTGTCGGGGATCCGAAGCCCAGAGGTCGGAGTTGGCTGGGTGGTGGGGATTTCAGGACGCGACGTGTCTTGGCCTTGTCTCATTCACAATAGTTGTACATGTCCATCCTTCCAGTGGGGGTCTGGTGATTGCGAGACTCAGAGCAGAGAGAAGCGCGGCAAGAATTGTCTCAACGGCTGCATTTTCCAGCATCCCTTCTCTTCGCCAGCTCTTGCAGCGACTGCCAGCTGGCAGATCTGCTACAAGCTAAAAAAGTGTCGGCAACTTGCGCCTGGGGCCGTGGCGGTACTACTCTGCCGGACAGCCCGTCGTTGCCTACTAGGCAGCTACTGTACAGGTCAGGGAATCAAGGAGTCCTTTCAGCTCGGTCCCTAGCTCTTGCAACTTTGCCACTCGAAGGCCCTTCATCTCGGACTGTGTGTTAACTTCGCCCCTGCCACCTGCAGAAACGATGGCACCGATCCCCAAGCCCGCGGCCACACCAAGACCAATGGGCCCGGCCACGGCTGCTTCAGCAGCCAAGAGAGCTAAGCCACCTACTCCCGAAACACCCGAGGAGATGCCAAGGCCCCAAGACCAACCGGATGATTTCGAAGCTTTTCTTTCCAAGTCGCCGATCTCCCTCTTGACCTTGAGGATCTCTTCCTGGACCGGCTCAGCAGCCGCCTCGAGCAGCGAACGGCACAGGTAGGACTTGTCACTCAACTCCTGGTCCAGGAGGGCCTGCACACCGTTGAACCCCGCATCTCGGCAAGCCTCCTTCTGGCACCTCGCTTGCTCTGCGGCTGCGGCGTCGGTGTAGAAGATCTTGGCATCGGGGAACCCCCTCGACTCCACGAACTTGCGTACCTGCTCCTTGCATTCCTTCCGGCTTGCTTCCGTCTTGAGGGCATCCCAATACGTCACCACCACCACGAGCCGAGCCTTGCTAGACTGAACCTGCTTGAGAAGGGTGTCCGCAGCCGTACTGGTAGGCTTGTTGGCCAGCACAGTGAGGAACACAAAATCCGAGCGCCGGATAGCATTCAACGCCTGCTCCTCGTGCTCTTGGAAGTCTGGCGCATCAAGTCCGGGAGTGTCAACAACGACAGCAGTCTCGCCGGGGAACTCATTGACCTTTTCTGTTGTGCCTTGGGTATTGCTGGTTTGGCACTTCTTCTCGCCTAAGATTGCATTGATGATTGTGGACTTGCCGGTGCTGTGCTCTCCAGCGATTGTGACGACCAAGCGAGTCTTATCACCAAGGGTCTTGAGCTGTTCATTCTCTGGCAGAAGCTCCGAGGCCTTTGCCAACACACGAGCCACCAGAAGCATCGAGGCCCCTGCCATCACATCAGCCGCCACCTCCTTGGCCACATGGGAATCGGAACGCCTGAGCTTTGCATCTGCATGTGGTATTGTCGGTGGCTTGTCCTGCGGCTGTGGCGAAGTGCTCTCGGATGAGCTCGTCAAGCTGGTACGATTCGCGAGCCTTTCGCTTGCATGTGGCTTGGGCACCCTTCCCTGCTTCATGAGGGATCCTCGTGGCTTCCATGCTGGGAGGATCTTCCGGACGAGGGCCCAGAGTAGTGCCCAGCAGGCACAAGCCGCGAATGCCGAGATGCAGCAGCGAAGAGGGGTGTAGCGGGCAAATTGAGCAGGAGGGACAAAAGCTGAGCGTGCACTGGTTCACCCACAAATCTTGTAACTGCTGCCGCAGACATGGCGGGCCATACCCACAAATTCTGTGCGTCCTGCTCCTCCGTGCATGCTGCCAGAGTAAACGAAGTCGAAGCCCGGCTTGGCCCGCGCAAGGAAGACACCCAGGAGCAAAACCTGGCTTCGGTGTGAGAACCGGGGATATCTTTAGGGTTTAGGGTTTAGGGTTTAGGGTTTAGGGTTTAGGGTTTAGGGTTTGGGGTTTAGGGTTTAGGGTTTAGGGATTGGGAATTGGGGTTTGGGGTTTGGGGTTTGGGGTTTACGGTTGAATGCTGTACTACGTTTGAAATATTAGCTACAGACATACCTAGCACGCAGGTGGAGCAACAGCCACGCACAAGGAAAAGTCTGCGGCCTAACAATGAGGTACACTGGGACCCCAAAGGCCCTACTACATGCTACTAGTATTATTTAGTATTATTCTTATTCTTACTACCATTATTCGTATTTATTTTTATTATTATTGTTATTATCATTAGTTCGGTTATACTGGACGTCTCGCAAATCTGGGAAGGAAGTTGTCATCTGTGAGTCGAGAAGCGGCGAGTGGCCGAACTGCTGCTGGCTTGCGGACCGAAGCCGAAGCGCTTGCCTGGGTTCCCTGGTAGACCCTAAACCCTAAAGGGGCCTAAACCCTAAAGCCTAAACCCTAAACCCTAAACCCTAAACCTCTTCTTGTTAAGAAGGAACCCCAAAAAGAAGAAGGAAAAAGGGTACTAGTGGAGGGCCAAGTTGCCATGCTGACAAGAGCAGAGGATCACGAAAGGCGGACGGCTTGGAAAAGTCTCGGAGCCAACTTTCGCAACTCAGCAGATACCTAAACCCTCAACCCTAGACCCGAAAGGACCCCTATATGCCCCAAAGAGAAGCGATCAACTTCAGCCGGCTTCGGACGTTAGACTGGCAAAGTTTGCTTGGAGAATAGCACAGGCAATTCGAACCAAGCCGCGTTAAGTATGCAGCGGAATCATCGGTACATGGTGACAAGATGGCGCTAGCAAGAACCCTAAACCCCAAACCCTCACAACCCTTCCCCTTCGAAAGCGTGCCCAGTCGCGGCCTACGATGGCATCCTCTGGCCCAGAGATGACAAAGCTCAACACCCCCAAGAGATTCCAAAAGCGGGGTTTGGGATAATATAGGGGCCATAACAATTAGAACAGACTTGTTTGCTTCTTTTTTTGAACGGGGGGGGGGGGGGTTATTATAGCATAATTATAAAGGGACCATAGGGGAATACTATTCGAAACTATTCCGACCCTTATATTATAAGTCTAGGTGACTCACACATTTGAAAGGGAATCACAACATACTCATGGCGCATGACAGACTAAACCCAAACCTCCAAAAAGCTTTCGAAGCACCCAAACCCGAACCCTTAACCACCTAAACCGCATGTGCCTTAAACCGCAGCTCAGAAAGGTCAAGAAGCGACATCGAAGTCGAAGACCAGGAAAAAGCACCGGTGGCAGTATTTGGCGAGCAGGTACCTCAGCACAAAGCTTCTGCCCTGACCACAGCTCTACAACCTGACCGACTCAGAAGTACAATAGCTTAGCACAGGAATACCTTCTTTAATACCTGTAATACCTACTTAATACATTTACTACCTTTAAGACCTTTAATACCTTTAGTACGTTTAATACCTTTGATACCTTCAATACCTTTGATACCTTTAAATACGATTAACAACCTCTAAACCCTACACCCTAAACCCAAACCCAATTAAACCTCTGACGCTTCCACCGTCTCGTCAGAGCGCTGGGCAAGCCATGTAGGGTTTAGGGTTTTAGGGTTTTAGGGTTTTAGGGCTTAGGGCTTAGGGCTTCGGGCTTAGGGCTTAGGGCTTAGGCCTTCGGGCTTAGGGCTTAGGGCTTAGGGCTTAGGGCTTAGGGCTTAGGGTTTACGGTTCAGGATTTAGGGTTTAGGTCTTAGGGAAGATACCCCAAGCAACGCAGCCTTAACCCCAAATGCTAAACCTGACCGTCTAAGGTAGCCTCGCAGGCCAAGAAGCCGCACCGACTCGTCATTTGCCTCAGAACCGGCCTCAGGGAAAAAGGGGTAGTCGTACCGGGCTGCAGGGTTTCTGCCTGAGGTTGAGGCTTGAGTTGTGGATTTGGGGTTTTGGGCTCCTACGGTCTGCAGCCAAGTGCTTGTGGCTTGCACGGCTCGGCTACGTGAGCAGTCGGACAGCACAGGCCGGGTGAAACCCTAAACCCTCGCGAAGGTCTCAGGCATTCAGGCTGCCACAAAGGCATGGGACTAATATTGATAAAGGAAACCATAAGGAAATGCCCCTGAAGCGGTCCTTGCTGCCATACGTCTGGTGCGCCAGCACCAACTCCACGCAGCTTTCCAAAGCCTGAGGTGTAACAGAGGGCTCGGAACAATTACCTAATGATCTTCCTTTATGATCCCTTTAAACCCTAAACCCTAAACCCTAAAATGGTAAGCTATGATACGCGAAAAACAACCCTGAGATTATTATTGCGGCCCCTACATTGTAGGGGTGCACCAGATGGAAGCCTCCTGGCTTCGGTGTTTGGAACTTCGGTTTCAGGTTTTTGGGGTTTAGGGTTTGGGGTTTAGGGTTTGGGGTTTAGGGTTTAGGGTTTAGGGCTTAGGGCTTAGGGTTTAGGGTTTAGGTTTTAGGGTAGCAACATCGCGGAAGTGGTGCAGGCGCACCAGGATCCCAGACGCACCGAGAGAGGTTTGCACAGCAGCCCGTGATGCTGGACTCTACATCTGAACCCTAAACCCGGAAGCCTTCTTCGCACGTGTTCGTATCAAGACAGAAAGGGTGATGTAGTTTAGACTACTACAATGATTGTAGAGGTTACTCAGGGTTCGAGATTTACAGGATCGAAGCTCGACTTTCACGCACACTACGCGGAAGCTGCGAACCCTCTGACCACTCGCTCGCCTAGAACCCGAAGGGGTGAGGCTTGTGGTGTGGGGTTTGAGCAGGCGCTGCATCCACAGCTGGGCATGCCTTAAACTTAACCCTCCTTTCCTGCGATCAAGCGCTGCAAGCAAGCGGAAACAACCATTCGGCTGAGGCTTTTGGGCTTAGAGGCTTTGGTTTTTTGTTTCTGGGAGCTTTGTGCGCAGCTCGAGTCAGAATGTTTTAGGGCTGCCTGGGGTCTGAATGTTTAGGGGCTTTGCATTTTGGCGTTTTAAGGATCCTGATGGCTTGGGGTTTCGAACTTGCTGCCGGGCACCTTCCCCGGATTTTCGGCAGACTGTACGCTCGGCAGCATTGCCACGACCTGCACGTTGCTTTGGACCGCTGTGCGTCTGGGAATCTCTGCAAAGCTCTCAAACGCTCGAGATTCGGGGCCAGGGGCTCAGGAGCTTAGGGCTTGTTCATCTCAACTCGGGAGGGTGACCAGAAACACCAGAAACAGCATCCATTAACAAGGAACATGCGCCCGAAACTCGACTCGAATCCGAGCTCACCCGCAGAAGCACGCAGAATCTGCAGACTGGAAGCCAACTCTCTAAAAGCAGACCTGCCTCCTGGTACTGCATCGCACCAACCACAGTCCTGGCTTTGCTTTTAGGGACTTTAGGGACTTTAGGGACTTTAGGGACTTTAGGGACTTTAGGGACTTTAGGGACTCTCAGGGGCTTTAGGGTCTTTAAGAGCTTTAGGGATATTTAGGGACTCTCAGGGGCTCTCAGGGGCTCTCAGGGACTCTAGGAGACTTCAGGGATGCCGATGTCATCCGCCCTACCAAAAAGAATAGTGATTTCCTGAGTTGGGATATTCCCCCCTCTACTAACAGTCCTTTATAGGGACTATAACAGGGGGTCTATAATCCCGAATTCTTAAGGACTGTTAGCATAAGGGAACACATCCCAAATGATGAGGCAGAGATGATGCAGAACGCCCTCGAAAGTTGAAGGTCGGCAAGCGAGGTCAACCCGTGTGCCTTGCCACAGTCTGCGAGCGCATAGAGGCCCACATTCGGACCTGTCAGCAAACCGTAGAGGCTTGTGGGGGGTGCAGAAATTAAGCAGGAAGCGGGTGGGATGTAGGCTGGAGATAGGAGGCAGTCATAACTCACGGGCCTGTGCTTGGGACCCTGCCGAAGCCAAGGCCATGTCAAGATAGTACTGAGCATTACAGCAGCTACAACAAACGGTCCGAAATTGTAGATGGTGTCACATTGGCCATGATGCAGTTTAGGAAGGGCCCAGGACTTGCAGAACGCCCACCCCCCTCCCCAACTTGGCCGGCGGCCGTTTTCCTTGTGTTCGTGCGCCCTTGCTGGTTTGCGCTCAGGTCCCAGCAATGGCCGCGTCAGGAAAACCGCGGTTTTGCAGTGAAACTGAATGTGACTCTGTAGTAAAGTTCCCTCAAAATTTCAAATTGCACCGCTGCAGTCACCCACAGTCAGCAAAGCACCAAGTCATTGCAATGCGACCGGCAACGTACTCACCGGCACGCCTTCTGGGGTGCTGTCGCGGATGGAGCGCAGCGAAGTCGGAATCGCCGCCCGGAACTGTGCCACGGCAACGGTCAGGTCATCCATGAACTCAGGATCAAAGTCCGATCTTCGGATGAGAATCCCAAGAAGTGTGTGCAATGAGAGCCGCTGCATCGAGCGCGCCAGCTCCACAGGAACCACCCGCACACTGAGGTAGCTGCTGAGAAATTCCACCCGGCGCCGTATCAAAGTACACAAGTTCGTCACCTCCCGCTGTAGGCCACGTTCAATAGCCTTTGCGTGGATGCAGGGCAACAGCCCCGCCAGCAAAGACACCTCGTCCAGCTGGGTCTCAATGAACTTCTTTTGGTTCTTAGCGAGCTTGCATGTCTTCTCATGGTCGAAGTGGCAGTGCGTGCAGAAGGCCTCGCGCTTGCAGCTTCCCTTCTCAAGGTACACGCAGGGCCGGTAGCACATGTCGGGATGCCCAAAACTTCCGATGCTAGGTATCACCAGCGGGTTGCTCTCGCTGAGCTCTGAGGGAATGTTACTTTCCCTCAGGCTCTCTCGCAGGTGCCGCATCAGTGGTGGCCGGATGTTGTCGCCCTCCAAGGTTGAACCTATACTCCCCTTAGAACCTTAAGAAAAACACTATTTTTGATATCCTCTTGGGTTTTATATATAAACAAAATTCAAAAAAAAAAGTTCCCAAGGGGGAGATAGGAACGTGCTGGTGGAGGAGGAGGTGGAAGCCCAGGAGGAGGACACGGAGTCGGAGGCATTGGCACTGGCAATAGGGCTGCGAGGCGCAAAGAGGCGCACAATGCGGACGCCGGCACATTCTCGTTCAGACCCATGGGGTCCCAGGCCAAGGGAGCAGAGGTTTGGGGATTTGGGGGTCGCTCTCCCAGAGTGCGCCTTTGAAGCAGATCCAAGTCCCAATCCTTCACAGAGTCCTTGCGTCCATCTTGGGACAGGCCCGAGAGATGCTGTGGATGCTGTGTATCCGCGCTGGTTGCGAGCCGGCGAGGATCCCTGAAAGTTGCCATGAGAGGCACGGGCAACCCAGACAGCGACGGGACTTCCTCGGCGAGCGGGTGTGGGTACTTCCCAGTGAACGGCAGTGGCCATGCTCTTGGCTCTGGCGCCGTGAGCCGCTCCTGCAGATCCCCGCCAAGATGGCCAAGGTTCTCGACCTTCTTCACCTTCTCCTCCTCGCCACGCTTCCTCTGGAATGGCATTGGCGGAATGCCCGCTGGCGGCTCCGGGTGCTCAGGGCCGCTCTTCTTCTGAAACGGCAGGACATCCGGCAGTTCTGGGGAAGTCCACTCACCAGGCTCCTCAAGATCGCGCCTTTGGAAGGGCAGCACCTGCGGCTGGCTTGGAGCCTGCGGCACTTCGAAACCGGGCTCTTGATCCCGGCACCTCTTCTGAAATGGCACAACCTGCGGCAAGTTCTCCACGGAGTCCCTGGCTCCCTGCGCATCCTGCACATCCTTCCCATCCTGCCTGCCTTCCGAACCTGCTTTGCATGTGGCTTCGCCGGCTTCCTCGCTGAGCGCCTCCGAACCTGCTTTGCACGTGGCTTCGCCGGCTTCCTCGCTCAGTGCTTCAAGCCGGCGCAACCTCTGAGCTGCCACCACCTTCTTCTTCTGGCGATGGGACGCAGACTGCGAAGAGTCCGGAGGCTTGCGCTGGGGGTTTTCAAACTCTGTGTTCGGTGTGCTGAGGTCATCAGGGGCTGCCGAGTCCACCCACCAAGTCCACCAAGCCAACAGGCCTCTCTGGCCTGTAAGGCTCACGTGCTTGGCCTTGTCTGAATGCACTGACTGCTCACGGCTCTCACGGCGCAGCCTGCTAAGTTGGAAGTCTGAGTCTGGAGAGAGAGGAGAGACTGCTTCGTTCGGGGCAGTCCACCCTCCGGCCCTTCCAGAATCACACCGCTCCAGCATAAACCGGTACAATGCTGAGAGAAGCGTCACAGTGCATGAAGCCAAGAGGAGCACAGTCTGAAATTGGGATAAGCTGGTTTCAAGATTGTCCTTTTCCACCACCAAGTTCATGGCAGCAGCATGCATGGTGTACGAAGCTAGTGTGGAAGAGGCTCCTTGGCCGTGGCCCACACTAGCATGAAAGAAATGAAAGACGGAAGACGGCCACTGCACTATGGCAGAAGCCTCCAAGATCATTCAAGATCATTCTTGCAACCTCACATCTCAAGCCGAAATGTGCGGCGGTTACCTGGTTCTCCAGCACGGAGCAAAAAGCCAGGGAGCGCTCAAGATTTCTGGGACTAGGGGTTCTGCAGGTCTTGCTGCACTCGAAGCTTTCAAGACTCAGGGCGTCACAGCTTCAGAGGTCCAGGGAACATGCAAGGCCTGCTTGTCGGGCCGAAATTGCATCTATGGACTACGAATAGGATGTAGGATTTGGGGGTTTACGAAACCATACGGGACCTCAAATATAGTCCCCCAAAGAGTACGATTCCCTTATAATAAGGACCCCAAGGAGGTACCCGTAATTTCGGAACCCCCATTTCGGGTGTCAGGGCTTTCAGGGCTTCGGCAGCCATTGAGGTCTGGCATCGAGCCACCGGGCCTCCATCACCAAGGCGGGCTTCAGCATGTGATCGCTGCGGCCCATGAAGGCATCGTGCATGCCCTGTCCGTATGTCAGGGTTTGGTGGTCAAGGCTTGTCGTATGACTTGGGCTTCGGGCCACGCTGACTGTTAGGGCGGGAAGTGTGGGACGTGGATGGTTGGTTGGGACAGGGTCGGGAAAATTGGCATGGCTTATCAGTAGCGAGCTTAAGACGCCTGTTCACGAAAGTATGGGTTCACAGCTTCTTCAGGAAGTTGAAGGTGTTGATGGGGTATATTGAGAGACAAGGCGACAGAAGGACCGGATGAGGGCTCAACCTTGTTTTGGAAAAACGCTCAGGGTCCTGGTAGCCCAGTAACCATCTTACAATAAGGCCACCCTTTTTTTGGGGGGGTTGGTTACTTTATCAGGGAATTTCAGAACCCAACAAAAAGGGGTAGTAAATGGGTACCACTGGGGCTGCCAAGGGGTTCTCACCGACTCCCAGGTTCTTGCTCGTGTGCCTGTGGACATCTAGGGCATCCATCGACCCCAAAGCTGGCCATACCCAAGCTTTGCTTATCGAAGGCTTCTCGGAATTGGTTCTTGAGGTCGTGCGCAGCTGTGTATGATCACTGCTACTGGCTTGTCTTAAGAGGAGAAATGAAAAACAACACCCGTGACATGCTCTCGTGATTGTCTACAAACATGGCATAACCGAAACTTGTTTGCCACTTTGCTGGAGCAAAGGCTACCTAGGGATCTTAAAAGGATGCTACTTAAGATATACCAGATCTTGTCTAATCAAACTCTATGCGATTCGGATGCCCGTTCAAGTCAACTAAGATCCGAAGATGCTTCCAACCCCACCATGATGAAAGGAAAGCAAGTTGAGCTGACATCTCGTCACAAGGCTTCGAAAACCTACCAAGTCTACCAAAACTGACAAACCCTACCGAACCCCGCCACAAAACTACCGAAAAGAACGAAACACCGGCTTAGAACAACTTACAGCTTCAAGAGCTCCGAACCGATTTCCCCCACCCGTAGAGATGAGCTCAAAGGCTCGGAGGATGCAGGGCTTAGGCCCTTTGAGGGTTTAGGGTTTAGGGTTTAGGGTTTAGGGTTTAGGGTTTAGGGTTTAGGGTTTAGGGTTTAGGGTTTAGGGTCTAGGGTCTCTCCGGAACGGCTGTGCTACTGACCCAAAAGGAGCACTGGCAGCTGGCTCCAGCTCCATGAGTGGGACCCGAAGACCCTCCCAAAATCGCAAACTCAAATCTAACCCTAAACCCTAAACCCTAAACCCTGAAGCTGAAGTTCTCAGAGCCCCAGAAGACCCCAGGTCCTTGTTCGTGAAGCCGTGCCGCTCACAGAAGAAGGCCCACCTGGCTGATCAGGGCTCATCGGAGGACCGTCCTGAAATCCTGCGCCCGAGCAAAACCTCGGAAGTCCATAACCCCCCGTTTAGGGTTTAGGGTTTAGGGTTTAGGGGTTGAGGGTTGAGGGCTGAGGGTTGAGGGCTGAGGGCTGAGGGGTGAGGGGTGAGGGTTGAGGGTTGAGGGTTTGAACCCCCCAAACCCCAAACCGCTCCCAGATGTGATCGGCTGGAGGCTTGAGGGGGGCAAGTGCTCTAACTTGCTCCTCAACCCTACCCCTGTCATCCACCCCGAGTGGTCCCAGCAAGCCTGGGCTCGGCCAGAGCACGTGGTGATGCAGGGCACATGGGGTTTAGGGTTTAGGGTTTAGAGTTTAGGGTTTAAAGTTTAGGGTTCAGGGTATGGAGGGGGGTACATGGGGGATGGCCAAGATAATTTCCATCACGGCCCCCAACAGCCCTGGCCACTCTTCTGGGAACTGCGAGATGATGAAGGCGAGGTTGCTATTCAGCCCGTCGTCCTTGTTCAGTAGAGGGTGTAGGGGTTCGGGGCTTAGGGGTTGAGGTTCTTAGTGGTTTTTGCTTCTTCAGGGATGTGGGAGCTTCGGAATGCACCCCTCAGGGCTTCGTCTTCTGGATCCTAACGGATTCAGGCTTCGGGTCCCTATGCGTCTAAAGTCTAAGCGCGCGAAAACTGCGAGAAGGGTCTCCGCTTTAAAGAAGCTTTACGAAGCCCTCGGTGGGTTCTGTATAAAGGTGGGCTCTGTACAAAGGATGCGGCTGGCCCTTCTGTAAAAACTCTCAACTCTAAACCCTTCACGGGTCTGGTCAGCAGGACCCTTGCTCCTCGGGCCCTCGTGGTGCGGTCTTCGGTTGGAAAACATCAGAACGAAGGAAGCAACGTTCGCGACAGTACACCACTTATGTTGTTGTCAAACTACATTAGAAACGCGACTAGCTAAAGCTTACCATACATATATATATATATATGTCAGTTTGAAAAACATAAGAATGAAATATACAAGTTGTGCATGGGTACTGCTTTGTAGTTAGACAGTTAGATAGTTAGTTAGTGCTGAAGGGTGCGCAAGTCAATGTTGCCAAAGTCCATCCTAGGTGTTGACGACCAGGGTCCCTTCAAACTCTTCCCGCCCCTAAACCCTAAACCCTAAACCCCAATCCCTAAACCCCAAACCCTAAACCCTAAACCTTGCGGGTTTCCATGAACCTGGTGCGCGATGGTTGCTCGAGCGACATCCCTTGCTTGTGCTCACCTCGCAACCTCCGTGGCTGCGCGCACCACCCCGCACATGCGGGCGTTCCCTCACGTCCCCGACACTTCCCGCGCTTTCTTCCATGGCGTGTATCGACTTAGGGTGGACAGGGGTAAAGGCGTACTCTAAACCCTAAACCCTAAAACCTAAACCCGAAACCCGAGACCCTAAACCCTAAACCCTAAAACCCGAAACCCAAACTCTGAACCTGAAGCTTTGAGCCCCACCAGCCGGTCCTCAAGTCCCTAGCGCCAAGCCACATCTTGCAGGAACTGCTTGCTTAAAATCACCGTCTCGTTGTAGCAGGGGATGACCTGGCGCAGAGGCCGCTGGTTTGATAGGTTGCAAAGTTTTTGGCGCTCAGGTCTAGTTGACGTTTTGTCTGGGCCTCGCTTCAACAGCCTTAGCGTTAGAGAGTTGGATACCTGAAATTCCATTGGGGGGTGTTGAGACTTTGGGGAGTCGAGTAGACTCAGACTGCAAGGTTTTTTAGGCTAGCTCCAAGCGCTCTCCGGCGCTCTCCAGCGCCTGCGTCAGGGAGGGCACGTTGCCGATGTGGCTATCCAGAAGCGTGTCGATGCCCGCACGGATCCCTTTGGAAGTGAGGCTTGCGTGTGGGGTTTGCATCGGCTTGAGGACAACTAGGGGGGGTTTCAGGTGCATGTGGGGTGCGAAGGGGTTTAGGCCTAGGCAGTTTTTTTTTCGGTTGAGGCAGTGTAGGCAGCGTCGCCCCATCACGACCCCAAGTTCCTTGAAGGCTTGCAGCCGGTGCTTCGGGTTACTTCGGGTTGATACTTGGTCTTGGATCCAGGTTTACCCATCACCCCAAGTTGAGGAGTAGGGTTTAGGGTCTAGGGTTTAGGGCTTTCTTGGGTGAGCTGAAGATTCTTAGGTTTCGGTTTTTGGCAGCTTCTCGAGGCTCACAGCATCCTGACATACGCACTCAAACTCTGAAACCATCTGAAACCCGAGCTTCCAGATGCCAAGTTTCTTGTTTGCCAAGGTCCCCCTAAGCTCCCAAATCCTGGCAACACAAAGCGGATAAACTTGAACACAACCTCACTCAGCCGGCGGCCATACTTCTCCGATGACCGGAGGAGGCTGCGAAGCGAGGCCGTGAAGAAGCTCAAGCGCCTCGGGTTCTGGATTCCCCAGTAACGTGGAAGCAACGAGGATTCGTGATAGCCTGTTTTCGCTCCATGGGGATCATCAGAGAACCAGTCCCCGAAACGAAAGGCACAAGCGCACCACGGGCCACGGCTCGAGTAAACAGGCACCCTAAACCCTAAACCCTAAACCCTAAACCCTAAACCCTAAACCCTAAACCCTAAACCCTAAACCTAAACCAGAATTCCCCAAGGTTCGCGCACCGAGGCACTCCTGCACCACCGGCAGGAAAGACTGGAGGGTGATGCTGCCCACCTGTCGGCTCGAAAGCGAGAATGTTTTTTGACAAGTTTTAGGTGGTTTCCGGGGGCTCAGGGGCTTGGGGCTCTCAGTTGTGCAGGGGACCCAGGGGACTGTTAAGGAGAACTTCTGGGGCCTCTCTGCCCAGATTCCCTTAAACCCTAAACCCTAAACCCTAAACCATAAACCCTAAAAACCCTAAACCCCCTCAAAAGAGTCCCCTCGGGCGCACCTTTGAGTTCCGCGCACGGCCTCCCGCCGCCTCCACCCTCCAATGCTCCACGTCGAAGACGACGCAGAGCTCGGTCCTCAGTGGAGCGCCAGACAAGAGAGCGAGAGAGAGGGAGCAAGAAAGAAAGGAAAGAAAAGTAAAATAACAAAAAACGAAAAGAAGTGAAAAGAAAATAGAAATAGAAAAAGAAAGAAAGAAAACTAAAAAACAAAACCTAAGAACTAAAGAACTGAACCCTAAGACTCCGGAATCCCGAACGCCCATAATCTCGTTAACTCCTAAACCGCACACATGGGCCAGGCGGCTCTCGCTTGAAGGGGGGCGCGTACGGCTTGTCTTGCCAGACCAGATGCTTCCAGCAACCCTCCCCGTTTGCGTCCTCCACGAAACCCTCGACCTGGAAGGAATTGCGGGTCTCGGGCTTTCGGGTAGGCTTGGGCATTCTGACTCACAAGGTTTCAGACGGGGCTAAGGAGCTTGAACGTTGTTGGCGGCCGAAAAGATTGGCCTTCCCGGCAACAACAGCTGACCTCGAGTACGGGCAGAAGCCAAGAACTCGATGGATACTGGGCCCGGTTTCGAAGCTTGTGGCTAGGGGCACCCGTGACTTTCCTTACCATAGTTGTGACCGCACCACGGCGCGCCCGACACCACCCTAAAGAGTTCGGGTGAAGTGTTCAAGGTTGTTCAAGGGCGACAGCAGCTTTAGGGCTCTAGGCTTCAGCCGTCTCAGCTGGGACGAGAACGGCGTCCCACGAAAACTGCCCCAAGAGGCCTTCCAGCAGACGGGATCCAGTCCGGGAGCGTCCTCGCGACATCTAAGCGCCTAAACCCACACATCCAAGGACTCCATCTCAAGCTTCATCAGAAGCAGTCTAGAGAACCACAGTAAAGAGTTATTCTGGGAACCCTCCCTAACAAATGCTCAGAACTGCCGCACGGTCCTGAACTTGCGAAATCTCCCAAGCCTGAAGCCTAGATTCCTGATCCCTGATCCCTAGACCAGGGGTGCGTAAGATTGGGACGAAAGCTACGAAAACCATGCCTGTCTGCGCACGAACCCACAACCCTAAAGCCCCCCAATCAGAACGCATATTCCTACCAGGGACGATTGAAAGGCATGCCGGAACCCGGCGCTTTAAAATCTGAAAGCCTCAGGGCCCTACATCCTGAAAACGTTCGAACATCCTATGGAAGACCTTGAAACCCTCCGAAACCGGTCTAGGGTTTAGGGTTTCGGGTTTAGGGTTTAGGGTTGAGGGTTTAGGGTTTAGGGTTTAGGGTTTAGGGTTTGTAAGGTGTGTAAGGTTTAGGGCTTAGGGACAATAGCCTTGCCCGTCATGAAGGACATGGACTTCACGCTCGCGGGCGGGTTCAGCGCCACCTCGACCTGCCAAGATGCCGGGGCCATGCGTTGGGCTCTTTCTTGCTGTGGTTCGTAGGGAAGGAGGGAACGAGGTACCCTATGCAATCCCTTAAAGGGTATAGAGGGGGATATAGGGTAGGGAATGGGGTACCCTATGTAATCCCTTAAAGTGTAGAGATAGGGGGATGCAGGGTACCTCAGTCCCTCATTCCCACCAACAGTAAGCTTTGGGCAGTAGGGGGAGGGGGGGGGGGGACAAAAGGGTTCGTGGGCTTTGGGGCTTTAGGATTTCCAGCCTGGGCTTGTAGGTTTCAGGATTTTGAGGTTTGGGGCTTGGAATTCTAGGGTTTGTCGGTTCTTGGGCCCCTAAACCCTAAACCCTAAACCGTTCTTTCAACCTTGAGCTTTGGTTGGGGTGTGGGGTAAGGGGGCTTCGACGAAGCTCTGAAGCCCAAAAGATGGGGGTTACCCTAAACCCTAAACCCTAAACCCTAAACCCTAAACCCTAAACCCTAAACCCTAAACCCTAGACCCTAGACCCTAGATCCTAAACCCTATCTTATGGTTTCTGGTCCACGCGTTCCCAGAGACACACAAGCTGCAGGCCCCTAAAACTCCTTGATGCAGTATGCATTGTAGCAGAAATCGAAAGAGAGGCCCTAAAATCGAAACCCAAGAAAGCCAAAAAGCCTCCAAGCCTCTGCTGGGGCTATTCTGCAGGCCAGTTTAGGGTTTCGGGTTTCGGGTTTAGGGTTCAGGGTTTAGGGTTTAGGTTTAGGGTTTTGGGGCTTAGGAAAAAACCTGGCTTGCGGAAGTTCAGGCACGGACGTCTGGAGAGTTTAGGAGCTGAAAAGAAATGCTCATGTAAACCTCCAACCCCGAAAGCACTAAACCATATAACCCTAAGCCCTGAAACCATAAGCTTCGGAGGGAATAGGGAACCCCAGCTCCCTCAACAAGACCCTCGCCAACCCAAGAGAGAGAGACCTCGTTGAAGAGCGTGCCGGCGCGCTGGAACACCAGGAGTGCCGGCAGCGTGGCGTTGCTGAGCTCCTCGATCATCTCCTCCTGTGGCGGTGAGGGGTGGGATGGGCCGGGGGGCTCGGCTGGTAGGGCAGGTTTTGGGGAGGCCTTCCGGGCATGAAAGGGGAACTTGGAGTTTCTGGTGTGGCTTCAGGGTGTTTTAACAGTAGGCTTAGACTTCATTTGGGCACCCTGACACCTTAACCCTAGACCCTGAGCCTTACATCCCAACTCCTGAACCCCAAACCCCAAACTCTGGATCCTAAACCCTCAACCCTAAAACCCCAAAACCCAACCAAAACCACTAAACCCTTAACCCCAACACCCCAAAACCCCAACACCCCAAAACCCCAAAACCCCAAAACCCCAAAACCCCCAACCTCTGGATCCTAAACCCTGAACCCTAAAACCCCAAAACCCCCAACCTCTGGATCCTAAACCCCTAACCCGAAACTCTCAACCCTAAACCCTAAATCCTCAACCCGAAAAACCCCCAACCTCCTGGATCCTCAACCCTAAACCCGGAACCAAACCCCAAACCCCAAACCCCCAAACCCAAACCCTAAACCCTAAAACCCTAAACCCTAAACCCCAAACCCCAAACCCTAAACCCTAAACCCCAAACCATGAAGTTGGGTCTCTTTCAGCACCGGCCAGCTGTCGTTCACCGCAATGAGTCGACTGCGGGGGCTGAGGTCGAACACCTCGGGGCGCTTCTAGTGGGCAGTGAGGGTTTAGGGTTTAGGGTTTGGGGTTTAGGGTTTGGGGTTTGGGGTTTAGGGTTTAGGGTTTAGGGTTTAGGGTTTAGGGTTTAGGGTTTAGGGTTTAGGGTTTAGGGTTTAGGGTTTAGGGTTCAGGGCTCGGAGTTTAGTTTCGAGCTTAGGGATCAGGGCTAGGTCTTTAGGGAGCTGTTTGACGACTTATGCTGGGGGCTTGGGGTAAAGCTGGTCCTGAGTGATCTAACAGCCGAACCCGAAACCCTAAACCCTACTCCCCAAACCCTAAACCCTAAACGGCAGCTTAAACAAGGCGTTCTTCCCGCCACTCTTACATTCTTGACACAATGCACCCCAGTCCACAACCTCTCGCCGGGTGGCGGAAAAAGGGATCACAGCTTGCATGCCCTTCTCCTCCAAAGTGATGGGGACTGTGCGTTGAGCCGGGGAGTTCGGGCTGGTTCTTGAGGGCTCAGGGCCTTCAAGTTTGCCTCAGGTCTGGATTTCCGGGCCGCTCACTTCCTGGGCACAGGTGCCGCGCGAGCTTCGAGCTCTGCGCCCGATAAGCACGGCAGAAACTGGGCTGCCTGCGGGTTTCGGGCCCCCACTCAGAAACAACTACCCGAAACCCTAAACCCTAAACCCCAAACCCCCTTGAGGCAAAAGCACGAAATTCCGAGAAGCTCTTTGCGAACCTGCGCCTCCATATCCAAAGGACTTAAACTGCTCATCGGGGTACGGAGCTTGCAGAAGTTGAGGCTTTCAAGCTTTAGGGGAATCGCGGTGTAAGGCTGTAGCTACTGTATGGCAACTTGGAGAAGGTCACGTCTTCCTCTCCTTGGTCGCTCTTGCGCTCTGGGTGGGGGCTGAGGCTTGTTTGGGCGCAGGCTAGCTTCTATGACCACTTCCAGGCCGGGCGGTTTCGCCCAGCAGTCTATTGTAGGAGCCTCCAAAATTAGAACAGGGTTCCGGGGGGCATTACAGTTTTATTCTAAAGGGACCCTAAGGGAATACTATAAATATTCCGACCCCTACAGTATCTCCCCGCAAAGCGGGCGTCCTCCCGCAGAGCCTGGACGAGAGATCGCCGAAGGTCCTGCCCCGGCCCATGGGGGAATTGCGAAAATAGGAAACCCTAAGCCCGAACCTTAAACCCTAAACCCTAAACCCTAAACCCCAAACCTCTCCTACCCTTTTTGGGGGTCCCTTGAGGGGATTCTATTCCACTCGGGGTATAAAAGGGGTGCCCCCTATGTTTGGAAATGCCCACATGGCTTACAAGTCGGGAGCTGGGTTTCCGAAGCAGGGCATACTGCTTGAACTGCTCTTGTGAGTTCGGAGATAAGGACTTTTGGTCTTGAGCACCACGAACAGACTATGTGACATCGCTGATTTTTTGATTTGCTGCACGGTGGCAAAGGTCTCGGGAGTCGCTGAGTGCTTGGCAATTCCAGAAGCTGAACCGCCACTCGAACATGAGCCTACTTTTCCTTCGGTTCTGAATTAATTCTAAACAACCCAGTTGCCCCGAAATGTCTCGCCTGCAAGGCGGTCGCAAAAGCGATCCTCATGTAGGAATCCCAAAACTTCTTAGAGTTCAAACGTCGTCAAGGCCTCAGCCCTAAAGGCAGACCGGTCCTCCTGATCCTCGGATGCGACAGGTTTAGGGTTGAGGGCTTTGCAGGGTTGGTGGTGCAGGCCTGCGGGGTCGAGCTTCGCTTCCTACAAGCTCAAGTTGTCAACTGTTGAGCTGCACCAGGAGTTGGGCGGCTCTGGGTTCACAGTCTATAGCTATCTAGGGTGGCCACGCCGACAGCAACGCACCGGCGCCGGAAGCGTGCAGCTCAGAAAGGTTCAGGACTCGGGGTCGGACTCAGTCGGGCCTGCTGCGCGGCGCACATGCAGGGCAATCCCACCACCCCACCACCACCCCACCACCACCCCACCACCACCCCACCACCACCCCACCACCACCCCACCACCACCCCACCACCACCCCACCACCACCCCACCACCACCCCACCACCACCCCAACACCACCCCACCACCACCCCACCACCACCCCACCACCACCCACACCATCGCGGGTACCATCTGAAAGGGGTGTGTGCGCCTCGTAAACAAAGGGTCTTTGTAGAAGTCTCAAACTGAGGAAGCACTGCATGCAATGCGGGAACGGGGTCCGAGTTGAGGGTCGGAACAAAACACCGCAAACCCTAAGCCCCCGACGGCTTCCAGCACGCAGTCCACAGTGAAGTCCTCGATATCCTGGAGGAGGCGCCTCGATACGAGCCTAAGCCCAAAGTCTTATAAAGTCTTACCGAAAGCCGAAGCCACTGGCTCTGAGGTTTATGTTGACAGCAAAGAGGCAAATTAGGGAGTCCAGGATACGGTGTGTGTGAGAGAGAGAGTGTGAATGTGAGTGTGAGTGTGAGTGTGAGCGCAATGTGAGTGTGGGTGTGAGTGTGAGAGAGTGCGTGTGAGTGTGAGTGTGTGAGAGTGTGAGCGCGTGAGAGTGTGAGAGTGTGAGAAACTGGCGTAAGGTTTTGTGAGCAAAGCCTTCAGGTGGCGGACCTGAGTCTCCCGACCCTGTGGTTTTGGCGACTGAGGGGCTTCGCCTTCTGGCTGAAATCCCCAGGTGGCCAAAGCCTCAATCCAAGTCTTCGTAGCTCAGGAGATGTCGAAGCCGAAGGTCAGGCGCTACGATGAGGAGGACAGCTTTCAACTGCAGCAATGGGAAGACTTCGACAACTGCAGCCCTTTGGCGGATGATTTGCCCTTGAATGAACCCCAACACGACTTGGACAGGGGTGTGACGGCCAGCGAGGGAGTAAGGGACTGAGGACTGAGGACTTCAGGTTCGGGGGGCTGGTGACCTGGGTGTGAGAGAGTGTGAGTGTGTGAGAGAGTGTGAGTGTGAGAGTGGGAGAGTGCGAGTGTAAGTGTGTGAGTGTGAGTGTATGTGTGTGTGTGTGTGCGTAAGAGTGTGAGAGTGTGAGAGTGCGAGAGTGTGAGAGTGTGAGAGTGTGAGAGGGTGAGAGGGTGAGAGTGTGAGAGTGTGAGAGTGTGAGAGTGTGAGAGTGTGAGAGTGTGAGAGTGAGAGTGTGAGAGTGTGAGAATCTGAGTGTGTGGGTGAGTGTGCGTGCGCGTGTGAGTGTGAGTGTGTGTGAGAGTGTGAGAGTGTGAGAGTGTGAGAGTGTGAGAGTGTGAGAGTGTGAGAGTGTGAGAGTGTGAGAGTGTGAGAGTGTGAGAGTGTGAGAGTGTGAGAGTGTGAGAGTGTGAGAGTGTGAGAGTGTGAGAGTGTGAGAGTGTGAGAGTGTGAGAGAGTGAGTGTGTGAGAGAGTGAGAGTGCGAGTGTAAGAGTGCGAGTGCGAGTGTGAGTGCGAGTGTGAGAGTGCGAGTGTGAGTGTGAGTGTGAGTGAGTGAATGAGTGTGTATGTGTGTGTAGGTGTGTAGGTGTGTAGGTGCGTAGGTGCGTAGGTGCGTAGGTGCGTAGGTGCGCAGGTGTGTAGGTGTGTAGGTGTGTAGGTGCGCAGGTGCGTAGGTGCGTAGGTGTGTAGGTGTGTAGGTGTAGGTGTGTAGGTGTGTAGGTGTGTAGGTGTGTAGGTGTGTAGGTGTGTAGGTGTGTAGGTGTGTAGGTGTGTAGGTGTGTAGGTGTGTAGGTGTAGGTGTGTAGGTGTGTAGGTGTGTAGGTGTGTAGGTGTGTAGGTGTGTAGGTGTGTAGGTGTGTAGGTGTGTAGGTGTGTAGGTGTGTAGGTGTGTAGGTGTGTAGGTGTGTAGGTGTGTAGGTGTGTAGGTGTGTAGGTGTGTAGGTGTGTAGGTGTGTAGGTGTGTAGGTGTGTAGGTGGTAGGTGTGTAGGTGTGTAGGTGTGTAGGTGTGTAGGTGTGTAGGTGTGTAGGTGTGTAGGTGTGTAGGTGTGTAGGTGTGTAGGTGTGTAGGTGTGTAGGTGTGTAGGTGTGTAGGGTGTGTAGGTGTGTAGGTGTGTAGGTGTAGGTGTGTAGGTGTGTAGGTGTGTAGGTGTGTAGGTGTGTAGGTGTGTAGGTGTGTAGGTGTGTAGGTGTGTAGGTGTGTAGGTGTGTAGGTGTGTAGGTGTGTAGGTGTGTAGGTGTGTAGGTGTGTAGGTGTGTAGGTGTGTGTGTGTGTGTGTCTGTGTGTCTGTGTGTCTGTGTGTGTGTGTGTGTGTCTGTGTGTGTGTAGGTGTGTGTGTGTGTGTGTGTGCGTGTGTGTGTCTGTGTGCGTGTGTGCGTGTGTGTGTTTGTGTGTGTGTGTCTGGTGTGTTCAAGCCGTATTGCATATTTGCCTTGGACTTGCCCTTCACAAACTGAGGATCGCCAGGAGACACAGCAATGGCTGTCTGGCGTCCCTCTCACCAAGAGTTTGATCAAGGCATTGATCAAAGGGGTCCCCAGCCTGAAGGGGAAAGCCCTCATCCTGCACAACCGCTACTGCTACGAAGGGCACTTTGAGGAGGCAGCCCAAAGCTCGCCGGGGAAGTATTTACAACCTGCCAATCAATCAATTATAATAAGTAAAGACATGATGTTGTCAGGCTGTGCTCCAGCTCATGACCAGCAGCCCTGACTTCTACTTGGCCGTTCAATCCGAGAATGAGAACCCCAACATCGTGGACTACTGTTGCCAGTCTGTCAAGGATTGCATCTTGGAGGGTTGGAAAAATGGCACCGGCGTTGCAGGCAAGTGGCATCCGGCATTCCGGAAGGAACCTCCAATCGAGTCCTTGGAGCCAATCCCAACACCGCCAGAGTTGAAAGTCTGCGTGCGGGAAAAGAACCAGTTGGTGATCCCGCAGAACCTGCGTCAGCGATGGTTGAAGTGCCCAGTTCGCAGCGTCTTGCTTGCATTAGTTCACTGTTTTATCTGTTTTTTTCTAGGGGGGAATTCTTGTTCGGGACCAAGACCCGGACTGGCGTGAGAAGTTGACGGCCTTCGACTCCATCTTTGGCCAGCCTGAGGCCACGACCACGACAGATACGGTGGCAGCGCCGCCATCGGAGCTGCCACCGACTGCGGTGGTGAAGAAGGAGCCGCAGGAGTTCGACATCTCCAAAGAGCTGACGGCGTGGCAAGATGCCAACAAGGAGAACATTGCCCACAGCTTCTTGCTGGCTCAGGGCTGCACGTGCCACATCCTGAAGAGTGGTGAGGTGTGGCTGGCATCGGGCGCCGTGGACTCAGTTGTGCCTGGCGTGGATTCCGTGAATGCCAAGCCGCTGCTCATGTACTCTGGCGGCACGTGGCTCACCGACGCCGCGAAGGCATTCTCGACACATGACCTGAATGAAACATGAGAGCGTCGTGACTCATGAGTCATGCCCCCATCCTGAAGTCAGAAGCCCTCGCCGCAAGGCGGCCGATTTCCTGCAGAAGCAGGCGGCGAAGGCGGTGGAGTTCCATCTTCGCGGATCAGACGCCTGGGCACCCTGCCTACAATTGGACTTTGATGCTGCTGTTCAAGCAATGTCATGTGGAACGTGCCCTAGACCCTACCCCCTACACCCTAAACCCATGCTTCTCCGTTATTGTCGAGGTGGTGATGGAGGAGACAAATGCCGATGGCGTCACTCAGGATTCCCGGACAGGGTCCTTCTTCCACTTCTTCGTGGGTCTGGAGAAGCTCGGAGCAATGCTAGCAGGTATTGATGTGTCTAATTACTGCACTGGAACTTCAGGAAAAAGGGCCACCTGGACGTCAAGCTCGCGGGGCATGACGTGGCCCGGCCGGCAAGCGTCCAGCAAGGCCAAGAGAAGGACCGCCTGCAGCTCACGAAGCAGGGCTGCCACGTCTTCAAGTTTGCGCCTCCGACAAAGGGAGTGAAGGCCAGCAACTGTGCGGGACTGACGCCTCACAGCCAGTTGGAGAACAGCAAGTATCTCTGCCTGGTGTGGCGCCTCTCGGACTGAGCATTTCCGTAGGGATAGCTTGCCCAGATCCGAAAAATTGTCCCATGCACAAGCCTGTTGATCTTTAACCGCTGTTTCCGCCACCAAGGCATGAGGCACTACCTGCGGGAGAAGACGGTGGGCCCTGCGAAGCCGCTCTGGTATGCAGCTCCTGGTGGCTTCCGAATCCCCGCAAGCACTTGCGTTCGCCTGGTCTGATCCAACCTCCGACGTGCTCTACAGCCGCCCCAGTGTTTTGCACGGGACCTTTGAGCCCAGCGCGGTTTTGCAAATATCCTTAGAATTGTTCAGTATTACCTAGATGAGCATAGTGAATGTCGTTGCTGTTTGTGTAGCCCAGTGCGGTCGTGGAGATACCCATGTAGAATTGTTCTGCAGTACCTGGATGAGCATAGAATGTCGCTGGCCTGGTCCTATTGCTGGTGCGCTTTTGGTCTTTGAAAGAGGAGCCCCCACTAGTGTGGCAGTGGCAGAAAAGACGCCCAGACAGTTCCAAGCTTGGAGTTGACACTGCAGAGGACCTTCCACCCAGTGCTTTTCAGTTCCTGTGTGCCTGGACGGTGATCTGCTTTTCACATGCCAGCGTGTGATTGCCAGAGTTTTGGTTCAGAAGCTAGTGCCTGGTCCCAGCTCGTAATCATGATGCGCAAGGGGTCCAAGCCTCAAGATACCCTCGTCAACGTCGTGCAGAACAGCATGTGGCAGGCGCAGCCCTGCGTTTCAGTCAGTGTCTACAGAGTGTCACGCTGAGGAACTTTTTCGTTTCTGTGTTTATCCTGAGAGGCAAAGCCTGTGAAGCCCTTTAATCCGCCCGTTGCTCGACCCTTGACGTCACGCAGCCGACCACAGGCTGCCAGAAGTAGTGCGCGACTTCAGCCACCCTCGTTCCGATTCAATTCCCTAGACCTTAAAATCTTCCCAGGCGACAAATTCGCCTCCGGCTTTGACGCGAAGTCCTCCTCAGTTTGCAACGCCTACAGGTGCCACGCCGTGCCTTGGCTCTGGACACCTGTGTGTTTCCCATGTCAATGTGAAGCCCAAGCTGAGCCACGCAAGGGAGCTGAAGAAATCACGGGGCGAGGGGCAGGACAAGGGCCAACAGCCGCCATACAATCTGTGGTGAAGTCATGGCAAGATGTGACGTCGTGCGTACTTCTAGGAGACAGCCGTCACCAAAATGGCTTCAAGAGGGGCCTCGACAGGACAGCGCCGCATCACAACCAGCTCATTTTCGCCAGGACACTTTCTCGTCCATGGCGGACCTTTCTTCTGAGGCCTGGCTTGCCCGAAAGCACGCTTTTGGGCTCTGCTGCATTTTCAACACAGGCCAGCAAGCACCACGTTGAGCTTGAGGGCAAGGAATCGGAGGCTTGCAAGCACGGCAACAGAATCCACACTGAGTGTCACTGAATGTGCTCAGCGCAACGCATCTGGAACAGGAGGAAGCGGCGCACACGGCACGCAACCTCCTGGAAGATTTTGCTGCCGAGGCTACCTCCTCGTTCATGCTGCTTTTATTTTGCTGGCTCGACAACTACGAGAATGGGTGTATGCTGCCTTTGTGTCTCATGTGCTGCTTGCACCGCGTAAACACAACATTAATTCAGGACCGTGTCGTATTGGTGGCATGGTCCCCGGAAAGTTCCAAGGTCACCCTCCTTTCTTCTTTCCCTCGGGTCAGTTTATTGGTGCCATGGTCACTGGAAAGTGCCAAGGCCACCGAGGAAGCCTCGGTGGCAAAACGAGTGTAGTTACTACAGGAGTCCTAGTTGATGCTCTTTTCGACCATGATATTCATCACCGAGGAACCCGGAAAGTTCCAAGTTCACCCTGGCCTCCCTGTGATCTGTCGTGATTGCGTCTCATGTGCCACTTGTGTCACGTAAACTGAAAATTCAGGAACGCGCAGTGGAGAATGACGGCCCTGACGGCCCTATGTCTACTGAGAACGGGCGTGAGCTGCAGGCCAGGCTCGCTGCCCTTGTGGCTCATATGTGCCATTTGCGCTGTCGTGGAGAAGGAGGGCCTTTTCTCCACAAAGGAAATCATCGAGCTGCAGGCCGGGCTCACTGCATTTCTGTCTCATGTGTGGCTTGCCCGACAATTCTGCCTGCTTGTAACGTCGAGTTTCCAGAATTTCGCAGGGGTATGCACATGTCAGGACTCAGATGTCGATCAAGCCTCTCCGACTGCGACTGTGCTTTACGATGTGACGGACGCAGTCTCCCAGCAGGCCCGGGTCGCGAGATACAAGCTGCGGTTCAGCTCTTAGTACACAGTGGGTTCTTCGTGTTCTTCGCTTGGCTTTGTTCCCCGCCTGATTTTGCTGGCAAGGCGCTGCTTTTCAAAGAAGACGCGGAAGGGAAGCAGGACAAGAACGAGTCCGAGGATCCTGAACCCTAGAGTTGCAGCAGCAGTTTCCAGTGTGGACGTTTGTAACAGTGTCAGCTGTGTAGTACATGCTGCGTGGAAGGACCACGAGAAGACAGCCAGTGCCGAAAGGGAGCCAAGCAACGGAAAGGCTGTCCACCATAACCGAAGTGTACATGGAGCGAGAACGAGATGGAAGTGTCCTGACCGCAGGCCGAAGGAAGGGCCGACAGCCCCGAAAGCAAGCCATGCGTCACAAATGCTGAGGCAATCAGTCTTGGACTGCAGTTGGCAGGACTAGGCAAGATGTAGCAGTGTGGGCGTACGTATTGTGTCCACCGTAACCGGAGTGTACATGGAACGAGAACGATTTCAAAATGTCTTGACCACAGGTCGAAGGAAGGGCCGACGGCAAGCCATGTGGCACCAAGGCTGAGGCCGAAAGCAAGCCATGTGGCAGAAAGGCTGAGGCCATCAGTCTTGGACTGCAGTTGGCAGGACTAGGCAAGACGTAGCAGTGTGGGCCTATGTATTGTGGAATGATAAGGCACATTCCGGCAACACAAAAGAGCATTGTGCACGGAGCAGCTTAATGTTGCCATTCCTGCCATTCCGACCGTTTGCAGGGCGAAGGAAAGACCCGGAAGGCGAGGACTGACAGGATCCAGCCTGGAATGAGCAAGAAAAGGATCCAGGAGATCATGGAACAAAGGCGGCTGAACAAGATTGCCTCGTCGAATGCGTGGCATGCCAAGTTCGTGAAGAAGGGCGTCCCGCAGCTGCAAGTTCAGCACTTGTTGTGACGGGCGTGCTGAACGTGAGTGTGCCGCCTGGCAGCTTGCGCCTAGGTTCTGAGAGAGGATGGCAAGAAGCAGCCGAAGAGCGACGAGCCTGAGACCGATGAGAAGCAGGAGACCGCAGCTCAGAAAGTGAACCCTGACAAGGCGAAGCAGAAGCAGGAGCCGTCTTCCAGCTCCGGCTCAGTGAACCCTGACAAGGCGAAGCAAAAGCAGGAGCCGTCTTCCAGCTCCGGCTCAAAGTTCAAGCCGTCAGCTCTCTTCCATGCCAAATGGGACTTTGTCTCTGGGCGGACACAGTTGGCTACCTGTTTCTTTATTGTAACTGTACCTTTTTTTCAGTGTCTTAGTTGGACTGCAAACTAGTTTTTTTACTGCCCAGGTACGTGCCTTCCAGGCCTCCAACACCAATAAGAACCTCAAGGGCCAAGAGCTGGTCAACGAGGCCAACAAGGCCAGCGCACTAACATCGTGGTTTACACACACGTCACACCTGCAAACTTGATCCTGTACTCCTGCTTTCAGCAGCAACGCTTCGGCAAAACAGGCATGGATGCAGAGCCGGCAGCGAGCTGCTGTTATGGCGGGCCACAACTCAAAGCAGACTCTGAGCTGAAGCCGTGTCAGCAGCTTGCTTCCGAAGCAGCTGCGGCGTGCCATTGCTAAAGGCGTGGAAGCAGCCATAGTAGTTTGACGTTGAGCACAGGGGCTCAACATGATTTTGATATTCAAGTTCGGGAGTCGTGCCAGCGCTGTGTGACTGACGGCTCCCGTCATGTTTGAGCTGCAGCTTCCTTTGGCCACTACCAGGAGAGTATCATCTTACAACTCCGCCATCCTTGGCCAGTTGAGAAAACCAAAACCGAGTGGCATGCCGTACTGGATACTGGTAGCGTGGTCATGAGCTGCAGCTTCCTGTGGGCGCTACGATGAGTATCCATCTTAAAACTCCGCCATCCTTCGCCAGCTGAGGAACCAAAAACCGAGTGGCATGCCGTACAGGATACTGGTTGCGTGGTCACGCATGATAGCTGGCTTCCACTGAGGCCGACGCACGTCTCAAGGAAGCGCGAGGATCAGACAGGCTCCGCCGCCTCACAGCTTCCATCCCCCGTAAGCTTGGTTTTGGTCGTGTCGGTGCGTGTGTCAGAGCACATGATTGGCGCTGGGAGTGCAAATTGCGTCCTCAGAGTTCTTTCACTCCAGCTGCCAACGTGCACAAAACAACCTCAAGTAAGCATGCAAAATTCATCGACATCAGTGCTTAGCCAGGTCTTGAGGACTCCAGGGCGCCACAGTTCGCAGCTCCTGACCTCAAGAGAAACATGCTACATGCCTTTGGTGAGACGTGACTGACGCCACCTTGAGACTTGTTTCTGTCCTGGGTGGCTGTCCAGGTGTGAACTGTGTCATTCTGTGGCCCTCCAGCTGCCGGGCCTCGCCCGCAGCTAGGCCTGCATAGATGTGTCCTGTTAGTCCAATTCTACTTGATTTTTCCCAGTGCAACTTTTTTGTGCTTGGCAAGTGACTGGTTCAGTCCTCTGTGCTTGTGCAGCAAAGCAGAGGCTTGCTGGGCAGTCAGTCCTCCGTACCCTCTGTAAACCTTCGGATCCTTGATGCGAGCGTAATACATTCCAATGTTCTCTGGAACACCAGATATCTTTAGAGTGTTCACCATGGAGTGCCTGGCTGTGTGGCTCCTGATATTTCCATCAGTGGGATACTGAAAGGAAACACGCAAACGAGAAATGGCTTTGCAGACCGTATCTTTGCATCTATGCTCTGTTTTGGAGTCAGGCCTTTCTGATGGAAAAAGAAGCCCCTTTTTGGGCCAGACCCATTTGTCGATGAACACGACTCGGCCGCGACCCCCTTGCTGCACTGCTCTCTTTTTTTGAATCCCAGACCGACGAAGACTCTCCAGGATTCTTTTTACGTTGGCTAGCAGTGGCTTGCGCACAGCTGCCTGTCGTTTCAAAGGTGCGATCAAGACGGATTTGGACTTCATGTCAAAGTCGGTGGCCTCGAGCCGAAGGCATTCCGTCACTCGGAGACATAGTAGATGCGATAGGACACAGGCCACAAACAACCAACACCGTCCGTGTTGCAGGACGTGCTTGATCCACAGACCCCACAAGTCCGCAGGCAGTGTTGCAGCCTTGCCCAGCTTCACCCCCGCGGTCTTCTTGCTTGACTTCTTTTTGACACCCTTCTTCGTTGCTTTGTGCTTGAAGGCACACTTTTTGTGAACCTTCATGGGGCTCAGCTACACCGGTATCGACGGAATGTACTGATCGCACTGCAGGGTTGAGAGCCCAAGATGGCTAGCACATGAACTGGTTTTGTTAGAGTGGCCTCTGTCCTGACATTATTCGGCATGTTTCAAATTCCAGCAGGTTGTGTGCAGCCACGAGCCCCACACACTGAGCATTCACAGAGGAACACATGCGCTTTGCCGCCGTCTTGCCTCGCAGCCCCACAGCCTTCACAGGAATTCACGCGGCAGTCCGCCCCCACAGCCCAGCAGGAACCCCAGTCCACCTCAAGCCCCGCTCTATTTCCATAAAATCCGCTTGTACCTGGCCGGAACCCAGGCCTTTCCCCCTCTCTCGAGCCAGACAGTTTGTGTTTCTGCCCCTGTCCCTCTTTCCCCCCTTGGCTCTCCGTCTCTCTCTCTCTCTCTCTCTCTCTCTCTCTCTCTCTCTCTCTCTCTCTCTCTCTCTCTCTCTCTCTCTTCTCTCTCTCTCTCTCTCTCTCTCTCTCTCTCGCTCTTTCTCTTTTTGTCTCTTTGTGTCTTTCTCTTTGCCTCTCTTTGTCTCTTTAAATTATTGTCCTCCCTCTCTTTTTCTTTTCTGGCGTATTCTTTCCATCTAGTTCAACATCTGGTTCTTTTATCTTTCAAATCCTCGGACTCCTACGACCCCAACTTCCCGCATTTAACCCAAGCAGTCCGCCTTCCCCCAAAACTCCCCCGGCCGAGAGATTAACCAGTGCCAGGCAGTCCACCTTTACCCCCGAGCGGTTGCATCATCGCCTTGGCCCAAAGGGAGTCAGGGATGCAGCTGATCATGTTTGGGGGCCAAGACGTGGCTGAAGCTGCAGGGGCCCTCTGCGACTGCCCAGGCAGTCGGCCTTTACCCCCGCCCTCTGCGACTGCCCAGGCAGTCGGCCTTTACCCCCGCCCTTACCCCCGCCCTCTGCGACTGCCCAGGCAGTCCGCCTTTACCCCCGATAGGCGGACTGCCGAGGAAAGCGGGACGGTTTAGAGTTTAGGGTTTAGGGTTTAGGGTTTAGGGTTTAGGGTTTAGGGTTTAGGGTTCGAGGAAAGCGGGAGGGTTTAGGGTTTAGGGTTTAGGGTTTAGGGTTTAGGGTTTAGGGTTTACCCCCGATAGGCGGACTGCCGAGGAAAGCGGGACGGTTTAGAGTTTGGGGTTTAGGGTTTAGGGTTTAGGGTTTAGGGTTTAGGGTTTAGGGTTTAGGGTTCGAGGAAAGCGGGAGGGTTTAGGGTTTAGGGTTTAGGGTTTAGGGTTTAGGGTTTAGGGTTTATAATTTAGGGTTTAGGGTTTAGGGTTTAGGGTTTAGGGTTTAGGGTTTAGGGTACCCCGATAGGCGGACTGCCGAGGAAAGCGGGACCCCCCAAAGTTTACCCCCGAGAGTGATAGGCGGACTGTCGAGGTACCCCCGATAGTGATAGGCGGACTGTCGAGGTTTTACCCCCAAAGCCGGACCCCCCCCCAAAGTTTGACCACCCAGCACAAAAACACAACCCCCGATAGGCGGACTGTCGAGGTGTTCCCCCCAAAGCCGGACCCCCGCAGTTTGACCGCCCAGCCGTCAAAAACACCCGTTGTGACAATCTTTGAGGCTCGGCCTCCATTTCGGCTCGGCAGCTCGAAGGACAGCGGGCCCCAGCCTAAGTTCGGAATGCTTCACCACGGCGGACTCCCTTGCTTGACCAATCGTGATGATGAGCCACGCATGTCGACACGCAGTGCTTCATGTTCACGTCTTCGGCTTATAGCGGGCTCTCAGCATAGTGCACAATGCACAGCAACATACCCAACGTCGAAATGCAGTTCTGTGTGTGTGCGTGGGGACTTTGTGATGATGCAAGGGGGGGGCAAGGGGTTTGTGCACCCTCAGGACTTTGAGATGATTCAAGGGGTGGGCAAGGGATTTGTCTACGTAGCAAGCGCACTCCGTCTCACTCGCGGGGGACTCCTATAGCAGAGGATGCCATGGACTTGCGTCTTGTGTTTTCAACAGTCCACCTACCGCCGAGATAGGCAGTGCCAGGATTGTCGAGGCTCAGCCCGTGGAAAACACAACAAACTCGTGGCCTCTGTCCGCCTGAAGACCAAGTCGAACCTGAAGTCTCTTCCAAAGAAGCATGTGATCTATCAGCAGCATATGCCACCAGCGCAACCAAGCAGCAGGGAAGTGCTTCGGGAGAAATGGCAGCAGTCTGTGGAGGGGGAGTTTCCAGAACTGCTCTCTGACATCACGTCGCTCTCGGGTAGACATTCGGTTCTGAGCCACGCGCACGCGCTGGTCGAGGGAGCCGCTGCGCAGCGTTGTGCCTTGCCACCAGTGGAGCCCGCGTATCAGCTGGCTCTTATGTTTTGCGCCATGTCGTTCTCGACCCGTCTATGCAACCCTGACGCTCTCAGACCAAAGCTGGCTAAGACAAAGGCCGTGGACATGAAGAAGGTTGCAAGGGCACAGAGTGAATGGGTCAATATCATGGCACAGCTGGACCAAAGCTTCATTGATTGTTGAGACTTTCCAAGGCTGGGCGACGCTATAGCGTGCGCTGAAGCTAGTGTTCTTTGCGTTGTTCACGTTGGTCTAGGTGTGGTTTTCGAGTAGACGAGGCACAAGGCCTCTGGGCAAAAACAGTGGCATGGCCGACTGATATGTGGCGGGCTGTTTCAGAAAAGGCGGCTTCACATTGCCTAAACCACATTCCCTGAAAGAGTGCGTTCGGAAAACCCGGAAACCAGCCCCAGAAGCCGCAAATCCGTTGAGCCCCGCGTGACTTCATGACTCCCTGTGCTTCCAGAAAAGACTATCCGCTGAGGACCGTGCGACGTCATGAGATTCCACTGCTGTGCTCTCAGATCAGAAGTCAGTAGCAACAGAGAACATGACACATCGGGAGTCGGCAGCTGGCCATCGGGGCCCAGACATTGTCTCGATAGGCTCATATCACGTAGGTCTGGTGCAGCCTGGACGCTCCATTGCGATCTGTGTTGTTTGCATGCTCTGGGGAGTTTGAGTTTGGTGCATGACTCACTTGACAAGGTTTCCTTGGCTTAGGCGAAACAGGGTTTAGGGAGTTTAGGGTGTTTAGTGCTTGGGGTTTCAGGTGACACAGAAATATGGGCATGCTTGGTTGGAAAAATACAGCTCGCACACAGTTGCGTTCATGTTACGCAGGCGCTTGACATGTGACTCACTTCACCAGGTTTCATTGCCTTCGGGTTCAGGGTTTTGGGTTCTAGGGCCTCCAGGGGCAGGTGTATGGTTCAGGGTTGAGGGCGTCTAGGGTTCCAGGTGACAGTGCAAATAGACATGCTTTATTGGAAAAATACACCACGTGAGGCAACTAGTCTTTTGTCCTGCAAAAACACAAATCGCAACCGGTTGCGATTTGTGTTTTGCCACTGAAAAGTTAGACCTGAAAGCTCTCCCCGGACCAGGCTAAGTGCTGTTGAGGCTTTCCATGCTTCAGAGGGCCCTTTGGGATGTAAGTTTTCTGGCGAAATACAAGTCGCAACTGGTTGCGACTTGTGTTTTTTCAATGAGAAACGACTTCATCCTAACAGAGTGATCTGTGCTGTGAACATGCCAGGTGTAGCCTCGAGCGGGGAGACCTTGGAGGTGTAAGTTTTCTGTGGCAAAACACAAATCGCAACCGGTTGCGATTTGTGTTTCTGCATGACAAACGACTCACTGGCAAATGTGCAGTGTGCTCCAACACTGAAATCTCAGTCCCGTCCTGCGCCAAGCACGCTGCCCAGCGAGTTTCGCCCAGAATGATGCGGTAGACCTGCCAGTTGCTCAAAAAAGCGCAGCTTCGGGTAGTGTATGAGCGCGCAGCCCATGCCAGATCACCTCATGATGCACTCGCGCTGACGCTGACAAGCGCTGTTTCCTTTTCCAGCACGCCGGCCGGCATCCCACTGCTGGGAGATCTCGGTGTGGCTTGCAGGCGACCCCTTCTGTGGAGTAGCCCTATACAGCCTTCTTTCTGGGCTTCGCGGTTTGTGTTCCACTTGCAGGGATCGCAGAAACGACGCCTAGGGATGACGTGTGCCCCATCTCAGGTCAGGAGGTCATCTCGCAGGTTTGCCTCTGCGCAGGTGTCTTGAGGTTTGGAGGGTTTAGGGTTTAGGGTTTTGGGGTTTAGGGTTTAGGGCTTAGGGTTTCGGGTTGTGGTTCGGGTTTTGGGATTCAGAGTCTACGCTCAATTGCTGAGGGTTTAGGGCTGTGTTTCTCTGAGCTGCTCTTGGCCTGCCTCCACCCGCTCCACGCCTGGCGAGCTCCAGATCCTTGTTCTTGATTTGCAGCTCCAGGTCCTACAGGCCAGACCATATAATCACGAGTGAGGCCGAGGCATCAATCTTTGAGTGATCTTGACATAACAGGAGCAACAGCCAAGTTGGTCAGGTCGCCTCAATTTTGGCGCGCATGACTCGGTTTTGTCGCTCGGTCTCGTTCTGGTCACGCCTGGGGTCCAGCACGGATTGGAGAAAAAACGGCATTTAGCAACACTGGACTTTAGAAGCTGGGCGTCACGTGCGAAAAAACAAAGGCTGCAAGCACATGTCTGCTTTCTACAGCGAGCTGGGAGCATGAACAGCAAGAGAAGCACAAAAAGGAAGTGTTTCTGAGCAGCAGCCAAGTGTCTGCATGGTTTTGATCTTCGTGTCTCTTTCCTCCAGCTGCCGCTTCAAGTTGCGGCTCTCCTCCGCGAACTCGCTGTTCGCCTTTGTAAACGCCTGCAGCTGGGATTGGCAGGTGACCAGCTTCTCCTTGTCCTGGGTATACATATGCAAGTCTGCCAGGCCCTTCGCCAGTGTCTCCTGCATCTTGTTCTGCTGCTCCTGCATCTTGTCCTGCTGCTCCTGTATCTTGTCGACCTTGAAAGAGACTGTCTCCACTTGTTTCTCAAAGGACAGCACCTGTCCGCCAAAGGACTCCCGGAACGTCTGGTTGCGCCTTTGGGCAGCGTTCAGCTGGCCTTGCTGCTGGTGGCCTTGCTGCTGGTGGCCTTGCAGCTGGTGGCCTTGCTGCTGGTGGCCTTGCTGCTGGCCTTGCTGCTGGTGGCCTTGCTGCTGGTGGCCTTGCTGCTGGTGGCCTTGCTGCTGGCCTTGCTGCTGGTGGCCTTGCAGCTGGTGGCCTTGCTGCTGGTGGCCTTGCTGCTGGCCTTGCTGCTGGTGGCCTTGCAGCTGGTGGCCTTGCAGCTGGTGGCCTTGCTGCTGGTGGCCTTGCTGCTGGCCCACCTTCCAGGAAAGGCCCTGTCGGCTGCCAGCCGCTTCAGAGCTCTGCTGCGCAAGAGGTGGCGGAGGCGGTGGTGGACAGGACATCGTGGCACTTCAAAAAAGAGCTGGTGCTGTGTACATGTTAGAACTTTTGCGTGAAGGCCATGGGGCCGTTGTACGTGTGTCCACATGGCATAGAAACCATAGCCTCTGAAGCCTCATGCATGACAGGCATGATTCTGACATTGCGTTATGTTAATCGAGAAGAAGCCCTAAACCCTCTCTAAGCCAAGGAGCTCAGGGTTTATTCTTTATCATGGGCCGATCCTTTCACTGGCAGCAAGGTGCGAACACAAGCTGACCACAGCAGGGACAAGAGCAGTGATGCAGCAGGCAATGCTTGTTTCCCGGCCTCCGCCGCAGAAGTAGCTGCCGCTGCCAGTTACTGGACCTACAGAGACAGCGAGGGCGAGAGACCGCAGAGTTTGTGACAACAGGCCGCGGGATAAAGGAACTTCACATGGGGTTCAAGGGTGGGGGAAACCGGGCGGGGGGGCGGGGGGAAGTCTGTGTAATTGTGTTGGCCCTGGATGGTTTAGGGATGCTCTGGGATCTAGTGTTTAGGATGGCATAGGGCTCACTGCTTGGGACATTTAGGAACTCATCTTGTCTGCCTATCATAGCAAAAGGCTTAGGGGGAGGGAGGGGGGCTTAAGGCTTAGCATGGTTTAGGTGTTCAGGATGGCATAAGGGTTCAGGGTGTAGGGCTCAGTCTGCGACGCATCCAGGCGGATACTGAAGCCTGTTGCAAAAGGGCTTGGTTTGGGGCTTGGAATGGCGCAGTGTCCAGGGTTCGGGGTTGTCCTGGCACAGTGTCCAGGGTTCGGGGCTGTTCTGGGATTGAAGTATTTTAAGGTTTAGGGGTGTTGCAAAAGGTTTAGCGCTTAGGCGTTAGGATGGCTCTTGATGATCTTTTTGCGCATGATAGCTAGCCACCGAGGATGCCTCGGTGGTAAATCACCGAGGAAGCCTCGGTGGTAACACGAGTGTGGCAACTACGGTAGTCGTAGCTGTAGGTCTTTTCGCGTGTAATGCTATCCACAGAGGAAGCCTCGGTGGTAAAACGAGTGTGGCAACTACGGTAGTCGTAGCTGTAGGTCTTTTCGCGTATAATGCTATCCACAGAGGAAGCCTCGGTGGTAAAACGAGTGTAGCAACTACGGTAGTCGTAGCTGTAGTTCTTTTCGCGTATCATGCTATCCACAGAGGAAGCCTCGGTGGTAAAACCAGTGTAGCAACTACGGTAGTCGTAGCTGTAGGTCTTTTCGTGTCTAATGCCATCCACAGAGGAAGCCTCGGTGGTAAAACGTAGTCGTAGCTGTAGGTCTTTTCGTGTATAATGCTATCCACAGAGGAAGCCTCGGTGGTAATACGAGTGTAGCAACTACGGTAGTCGTAGCTGTAGGTCTTTTCGGGCAGAATGCTATCCAGAGAGGAAGCCTCGGTGGTAAAACGAGTGTAGCAACTACGGTAGTCGTAGCTGTAGGTCTTTTCGCGTGTAATTTATTAATGCTATCCACAGAGGAAGCCTCGGTGGTAAAACGAGTGTAGCAACTAGGGTAGTCGTAGTTGTAGGTCTTCTCGTGTATAATGCTATCCACAGAGGAAGCCTCGGTGGTAAAACGAGTGTAGCAACGACGGTAGTCGTAGCTGTAGGTCTTTTCGTGTCTAATGCCATCCACAGAGGAAGCCTCGGTGGTAAAACGTAGTCGTAGCTGTAGGTCTTTTCGTGTATAATGCTATCCACAAATCTTTTCACGTATAATGCTATCCACAGAGGAAGCCTCGGTGGTACAACGAGTGTAGCAACTACGGTAGTCGTAGCTGTAGGTCTTTTCGGGTATAATGCTATCCACAGAGGAAGCCTCGGTGGTAAAACGAGTGTAGCAACTACGGTAGTCGTAGCTGTAGGTCTTTTCGCGTGTAATTTATTAATGCTATCCACAGAGGAAGCCTCGGTGGTAAAACGAGTGTAGCAACTATGGTAGTCGTAGTTGTAGGTCTTCTCGTGTATAATGCTATCCACAGAGGAAGCCTCGGTGGTAAAACGAGTGTAGCAACGACGGTAGTCGTAGCTGTAGGTCTTTTCGTGTCTAATGCCATCCACAGAGGAAGCCTCGGTGGTAAAACGTAGTCGTAGCTGTAGGTCTTTTCGTGTATAATGCTATCCACAAATCTTTTCACGTATAATGCTATCCACAGAGGAAGCCTCGGTGGTACAACGAGTGTAGCAACTACGGTAGTCGTAGCTGTAGGTCTTTTCGGGTATAATGCTATCCACAGAGGAAGCCTCGGTGGTAAAACGAGTGTAGCAACTACGGTAGTCGTAGCTGTAGGTCTTTTCGCGTGTAATGCTATCCACAGAGGAAGCCTCGGTGGTAAAACGAGTGTAGCAACTATGGTAGTCGTAGTTGTAGGTCTTCTCGTGTATAATGCTATCCACAGAGGAAGCCTCGGTGGTAAAACGAGTGTAGCAACTACGGTAGTCGTAGCTGTAGGTCTTTTCGCGTATAATGCTATCCACAGAGGAAGCCTCGGCGGTAAAACCAGTGCAGTAGCTAGAGTAGTTGTAGTTGTAGCTCTTGAGTTTTTTCGTGTATGATGCTGTCCACAGAGGAAGCCTCGGTGGCAAGACCAGTGAAGTAACCAGAGCAGTCGCAGTTGTAGTTCTTGAGCTTTTCGTGTATGGTTTTACCACCGAGGAAGCCTCGGTGGTAAAACCCGTGAAGAAAGTAGAGTAGTCATCGTTGTAGATCTTTTTTGTGTGTGACACTATCTACCGAGGAAGCCTCGGTGCTCAAACGAGTGCGAGAAGTACAGTAGTCGTAGTTGAAATTCTTGTCGTGTCTGATGCTATCCACAGAGGAAGCCTCGGTGGTAACACCAGTGCAGAAACTAGAGTAGTCATGGTTGTAGATCTTTTCGTGTACCATCCACCGAGGAAGCCTCGGTGGTAAAGCGAGTGTAATAACTACAGTAGTCGTAGCTGTAGATCTTAGCCTCGCTGGTAAAAACCGCGAAGTACGTAGAGTAGTCATAGTTGTAGATGTTCTCGTGTGTGATACTATCCACCGAGGAAGCCTCGGTGGTCAAACGAATGTAGAAACTATGGTAGTCGTAGCTGTAGGTCTTTTCATGTATAATGCTATCCACAGAGGAAGTCCGGCATGCGTTTGCAGTTAATTTCAGGGGCTAAATTTACTGAGGACCCCATAAGACCCTAAAACCCTCCACATGAGAGTCACATGAGTGCGCGGCGACCAGCGGCTGGCAGCCTCGGGCACTCCCCCGGGTCACACACCCCGACAGTGTGCCCAGGTATCATCACCATCGACCTCAACGAGCTGCCATATCCTCCCCAAAGTCTCGGCCTCAGCACAGAGTCCGGGCATATGAAAGTAATTTGTGGGCTTCGGGCTACTTTGTTTAACACGACTTACGCCCTCAATATTGGCCGCCTTTTGCCCAAATGCGGCCGCGGCGCCCCGGATGAGGATCAGCATGAGGTGGCCTGGGCACGCTGTTGGGGTGCGCACCCGGGCTAACTAAATTGCGGGGTTTGGGCTTAAACCCATAGGGTTCAGGGGGACTCACGTCCAGCGACGGTCCGTGTCTAGGATGCTGGCCCCTCACTGGCTTGACTGTGAGTCAGCGATCTGGCGCAGAAGCTTGCCATATAGTGCCACACCATTGTGGCCTTGGGGACCGAAATGGCCCGAGGCCCTGTTCGTCTAGCTCCGCGCGAACGCTTGGATGAGCTTCGCCGGGAGAGGAACCGCTCATATCTGTGGTTGCAGAGCTGCTGGTACTGCCTTTGGGGCGTTTGTCCTGAACTTGGGTCAAGCCCGAGATCCTTCGGCTCCACAGATCCACTGCCACTTCGCTGCCAGCTGCCGCCACGAAGTTCAGACAGAAAAAAACCCACAAGCTTAAAGTCCGCCCTCTTAAAAAAAAAAAAAAAAACATGCTCGGGCCCCAACTGACACGGGGCGAGGTCCACCAGCTCCCTGCGAGGCGGCCTTGGGGGAACACCACTCTCTGGATTACATAGACCAAGTCTTCAAGTTGGGAATTGATGTCGGGGCATCAACAAACAAAGGTTTTTGGGGCGGGTGGGGGGGGGGTGGGGGGGGTGGAGGGGGGAGGGGAGGAGGGGGAGTGGGGGTGTGGGGTCAGGGGGGGATTTTCACGTTTGCAAATTTCCAAACCCTTACAGAAACCCGTGAAGACTCTGTCAGTACAAGAAATGGAAAACACCACTTTCTCAATTAAATAGAGCATGTCTTTCTTTTGGGAATTGTTGCCGGGACCCGGCATCAACAAACGTCCTAGTTGTGTGTCTTTTCGTGTCTGATGCTATGCGCCGACAAAGCCTCGGCGGTCAAACGAGTGTGATAAGTACAGTAGTCGTAGTTCTCGGTCTTTTCGTGTAGGATGCTATCCACAGAGGAAGCCTCGGTGGGAAGACCAGTGAAGTACGGAGGAGTCATGGTTGTAGATCTTTCGTGTATGAGACTATCCACCAAGGAAGCCTCGGTGGCAAAACGAGTGTAATAACTACAGCAGTCGCGGTTGTAGATCTTGTCGTGTATGATGCTGTCCACAGAGGAGGCCTCGATGGTAAAACCAGTGACGTAACTAGAGTAGTCGTAGTTGTGGCTCTTGTACCGAGGAAGCCTCGGTGGTAAAACCCGTGAAGTAAGTAGAGTACATTAGTCGTGGTTGTAGATCTTGCCGTGTGTGATACTATCCACCGAGGAAGCCTTGGTGGTAAAACGAGTGCAGTCCTATCCACCGAGGAAGCCTCGGTGGTAAAACGAGTGTAGTAAGTAGAGTAGTTAGTCGTGGTTGAAGATTTTTTCTGTACGATGCTATCCACAGAGGAAGCCTCGGTGGTAAAACGCGTGAAGTAGCTACAGTAGTCGTAGTTGTAGATCTTTTCGTGTCTGATGCTACCCAGCGAGGAAGCCTCGGTGGTATATAGCGTACTTGTACTAGTCGTACTGGTGGTAGTAGTAGTCGTCGTCGTCGTTGTAGATCGTTTC